ATGGCTTAGAACTCGTCTCCATGGTTCAGCAATGGAATTTAATTGCTGTTAACTCGTTAGCCAAGGGGGAAAGATTCATCACTTCGGAATTCTCCACGTACTAGATTTCCAATGGAGATATTTGGTCCAGGGTATACAGCCAGTTGCCACCTTGTTCTTCCTTTTCAAGCCTACAAGAGTAAAAGACATAATTTAGCATCGGAGTAGCTTTGTGAACCCTCCTAGACAAAACTTACCAGTCGTACGGCCAGAGGATGAGATTACCCTGGACCTTATTCAACATCTCTTCGGCGTGCTGTTTGTCCATGATCTCATCGTTCGCATGGAATTCTCGTTTAGAGAGAGTGGTAGCTCTCCGCCTGCGTCGTCGGCCGCCCTGCAAGGCAGAGTTCACGGTCAAGGCCTCCGAATATCCAACCTGCGAATCTGGACGTTGTTTATGGCTTTCATCATCCAGTAGCCCGGAATTACCGTTAGTTCCATTTTTCAACGCTGACTTTTCATCGACAGGTGACGTGGTCTCCTGCTTCGCCGCGTCGTTCTGTGTCGGGTTCGTGCCAACTGCCCTGGTCTCCCCCTTTTCGTCGGACGGTGAAGAAACCTCTAGATTAAACGCGTCTGCAGTCTGTCGGTCAGGTTTCTCAGCCGAAGGGCCAAAAACAGATTTGACTCCCGCCATAGTCGCAGCCGCGCCAGTGTTTGCGCCAGGCGGGCCGGTCTGCTTCGCGTGAGGAGGTTGGAAAGCCTTAGAGCTATGCTGGCTCTGCATCTCTGCAAAGCGCTCTCCATAGCTCGCATACTCCTTATATTCTTTCCAAGATTTGACTTCGCTATCTGGCATGCAGCGGAAAACGCCACGGTAAATCTTTGTGTTCTTGTCGGCCACCGCTTGCCAAGTGTCAAGGTAGAAAGCATCATTGACCGGATCTCTCATGCAGTCTTGATCAATATAGACTTGCTTGAATTCAGATACCTGGGAATGCGGATGATTTCCTAGATCCCCACTATCCCTCACTGGCAAGGGGACACCGTTGGCGCCAACTTCATGCTGTGCCGTTGGCCGAGAGGGCGAGAGGCACTCTGGATTGGAGGACGATTCAACACCATTGCCAGATGGAGAGGATACTTGTGCACTATCCTTGCTCTCCCGGGCACCGCGCGATGACTTTTGCTGCGGCTTCTTCTGGGGTTGTTGCAGAGTGCCTTTCCCTTCACAAGCAATTGGAGACACCAAGACCTCCCTGGTAGAACTCGAGAACTGGGTGTCACGACCGTCACCTAATCCTGCCTGCAGAGCATGCTTTAGGCGGTCAGAGCCATCGCCATCCACATCCTTTTTGTGCTCTGGATTATTTATCACCCTTGGATCTGTTGTCAATTTTCTGTTGGCTTTGAGATTGGGGTTGTTTCCTTGTTCCCAATCCACGTCGTGGTTGAAACTGTGGAGATCTTCTGAGCGAGACAAAAACTCGTCCTGGATTCGGTGTCGCCGCTCGATGGCCTCCCTTTCGTCTTGTTGTTTGAGCAGCAGGGACTCAGAATCCGCCGCTTCCCCATCTCCGGGTGCCGAAATGCCTTCTTCAACAACTTGGATCTTACGTAACTCCTCCTCAGTGGCCATGTCGTGTTCCATAATCTCGTCAACATCGATTCCGAGGTGCTCCCTCATGAGACGCATCCGAAGGGTATGGGGGAATCGTCCAACAAGATACGGCTGGCCGTTCATAGTAGACCAAATCATGTCCGTGTCGCGCACAACTGCGGCTACTTCCGAGTCTCGGGATCCAAGCATGGAGCGCTCATTGATGTTTGCGGAGCCGATAATCGCGGCTCGATCATCGACGACCATACATTTGGCATGAATATACAGCTGCTCTGTCACCAGTTGGTGGTGAGGCCCGATCTTGCCCCATTTTCGGAGGCTGAAAAACTGGATGTAGTCCTCGGGCTCGATTCCAAGGGCGCGCAGTCGTCCGAAGATGGAGGTTTCACCGCGGCAAATGCTGCGGTACTGGCACTGCATGATCAGACGCACGCTGGTCCCACCTTCACTGTCGACGGTGTTCTGGAAGCCTGGTATCAATGGAATGACAATCACGGCGCGCCACGATTCCTCATTTTTGGCAGCTCGAACAGCTCGTTCGACCAGAGCATCTCCAATCAGGTTCTCGATCTTTCTGCCATCGATCTCGCAAGTGCTGATGAAGAATTGATTTTCGATATAGACAAAATGCTCCGATTCTTCGATCAACTTGACATATGCATTCATAATGCTGTGCTCGGTGACATCTGGAGTCCCAGTCGACCACATGCTACTGGAACGTAGGATCTGAACCTCGCACGTCCCGTCCAAACCAAGTGCCTCCAAGTCAGCAGGATCAAAATCCGGAGGGGGCAACAAAAACGGAGTTGGCCGGGTGGGCTTGCGTTGACGGAGAATATAGTTCCACCGTTGAACGAAGTGACGGGTAAGATCGCGAGCAGGCTGACCGACGACATGCATCGAGATGTCATGCCAGGGCATCCTCGGGATGACATTACGGTCATACATCTCTTCGTAAGGCTTGTCAAGATCATAGAAATCCTGGATTCGAGGATTGGAGTAGTCCTTTCCGGGCCACAACTGGCAATGGTCTGCGTCCTTTGGCATATCGGTAGTCTCAAAGCCTGTTGGCTTGTCATCCGTCAAGGCATGCTGTGGGGTATCCCATCGGCCAAAACACAAATCAATTCCACCGACAAAAGCCAAAGTATGGTCAACAATGCAGAGCTTCTCGTGGTGCGCCCAGAAGAAAGTGTTTTGCCGGAATTGGTTCGGAGATCTCTGCACGAAAACATTGGGATGAAGGTCGAGAAGGGAGAATTTGGAGTATTCAGAATCAATCGGGATGGCGGAGTTGATATTTCGATACATAATAACGAAGATCTTGACACCCTCTCTGGCTTTCCGTTGCAACAATCGATCAAGTCTCCATTTTTGGCTGATTGCGGCTGGTCTTCGCATGTATAGCTCTGGACTCAGCCACCAGTCATGGATATAGATGACATCTTTGGCTTGGTTAATCGCTCGCGAGACAACCCACATATAATCACGTCCGTCAACGAGCCACTGAGCGAAACACTTCTGACGAACCGGGGCGAAGCTGTCAAACCGGTTAGGCTGGGACCAGGGTGTGTTTTTGACCATGAACATAATAGAATCCTCGAACTGGTGAAGCTGGCGCTCATTTCTAGCCAGCAGTCTGAGTTTTCTTTCTGAATTTTCAAGCCTCAGGGTGTGATGCTGTGGGTGTCTGGCGGACTCTTTCGCGGACTTGGCAATTTCACTGGCCTTCTGTTTGCGAAGACTCATTTTCTGGGTGTGCAGCTTGAAATAAGGGTCAACCAGAAAGACATCATAGATGTGCATTTCCTCTGGTGAGTCGACGCAGACCACATAGCTGTGTCTCACGAGGAACCATTTAGGGGAGTGTCGCTTCTTTACCAGGGATGGAGTCAATGCTCTGCGGAAATCAAGCCCTTTCGAAGATTGGATGATCAGAAACCCTTCTTTACCGTGATAGCTTCCTTCCGCTGCAAGGCGAACTCCCAGTGCGGATAGTTCAAGGAACTTGCAAAGGCGATTGCTGTCCGGCCGAAAGATAAGGAATCTGATCATTTTCTGCAAGTATGCTTCCAATTTCTTCCGCTGTCTCTCGGGGTATGTCTCCTTCTTAGCTGCAGGGGGCGCTTGTTCCGCGTTCGAAAAACCAGCGACATCACCGTCCTGTGCCTGGCTTACACTAGTGTTTCTTCTAGGAAAAGATGGCCGGCGGGTTTGCTTTTTCCTTCTTCCTGCTCGTTCATTGCCGCTCGTGGCTTCGGCTGCTGTTTCATAGCCACCATCATCTTCGTCTTCTTCTCCATCGCTGTCGAGGCCACGGACACCCCTAAGATATGGGAAAGCACCGCGAGGAAAACGTGGCATTGCATGACCGCCTTCCTGGCCCTTCAGCTGAATGTATCTTTGCGTTCCGATGTGAAGCTTGTACTTCAGATGAAGATTGGCGAAGTCTCTCAACGTTCGATTGATGATCCATTTCATCCGGGAAATACCGCTTCCATATTCGAGTTCGATCCTGAAGACGAGGTGACGATCTCCAGAGTTGGAGTCAATGCGGCTGTCTGTGACTCGAACCTTCAACTGCTCTAACAGTATAGGAATGCGCTTGCTGCCATGCTCGTCTCTTTGGAACATGCTGGCTAAGATCAGCACAGCTGGCGAGACAGAGGTCAATTCAGCAAGTAACTCCGCCGACTTCACATGATCGACAGTATTGTCAACCTTGCGCCGCTGTCCAATTAATTTGAGCCCTGCTTTGATCTGGCGCCACCGCTGGGCACTGAGACTACTGCCACGCTCGGTCCGATGGCGCCTCCACGATGCGGTCAAGCCTTCGGCATTCTCTGAGGAGCCAGCGAGACCAGTAAACCGCCTGAGATTGCTCGGTCGTCTTTCCTCTTGATTTCCTTGGCTTTCCTGTTGCCCAGAATATGTCAATCCCCGGGTGCTCGCCAGCCAGGTACTCCGTCTTCTTTCTCTGTTAAGTCTACTCCGACCTTCGTCCTCTGACACGCCATCACGAGGTTGCGGAGTGTAGTCCGTTGTGCTTGCTCTGCGCGGAAAGAAGTTCGAACGATCAAATGGGGCGAACGAGCTGGGTAGATGGAAGGAGGGCCGCGACACTATTTTGGGTGTGGTAGGACGTGTTGATTGGGTCGAGCTCTCAGTTTGATGTCTTGATGCATATTTCTTCACTCTCAAACGTGGTCGTTGTCGCTGTTCCCCCGCACTCTCCTCGGCATCGGCATCGATATCACTCCCTTCTTCCGGTAATGTGTCTGGAAAGCGAAACTCGCCTCTTTCTGAGCCAGGGGTGTTGAGGTCTGCAGCGGGCGGGCGAAATTCATTCAGCCCCCCGACGGTGACAGCACTCGCAGAGCGAGAATGGGAGGAGAAAGATGGGGACGCCAACGCCTTGATTTTGGTGAGCAGTGACTGCTTCCCTTTCGAGCCGGGGTCTCCATCATCACCGATAACAGAGGCAGCCCGAGACCCTGCCACTATCTCTGGAGGAACATCGTTATCGCAACTGGCCCGTGAGGCTTCCGTCGGTTGTTCATGGGCTTCGGGCAGCTCTTGTTGGCTACTACCATTCCCTTCATTTTGATGCTTCTCTAGATGGGCATTGGTGGCCTCGGTTGATTTCTCTGAATTGTAAAAGCGGGTATTTCCTTGAGGCCGCGGCGCGAAATCGTTGACTTGCGTGGCCGGGGCGTGATGATCATCATTCCATAGAGCCGAAGATGGCGTCGGAGAGAGGACTGGGGGAGTTGATTTGGCGTTTTCGGGTAGGGGTAAAGGTTGCTCTCCGCCGGTCTTCGTCTTCTTCGAAACGCTCTCCGCATCCCTCGCAGGGGCAAGCTCAGCCTCCATGGCAGGCGTGATGCTGTTCAAAGAGGGGTACCATCAGTAAACACAATACAATAGGCGCGTCGGGGCGGGCTCCCACGGACAGGTCGATGGCTTTGACCAACTTGCTTATTCCTTCACCGCAGAAAGCATTGCGGACGGGGTTCTACCTCTGGCGTGAAGACCACGAACGAGCTCAACCAAGCAGACGGGCAGCAGCACCAGCCAGTATATCCCAGATCCTTGTTCGGAGTAAGAGAACGGTTGATCGATCGGTCAACTGCGCTTCTGCCTTCCGAATGTTCCTGGTGGAGTTCTGCCCCATAATAACCACTGGGAAGCCCCGCTTGGCGCCGAGGACAGGGGAAGTTTCGACTTCCCAGTAACTAGTATGTGCGGATAGAATGCAGGTAGCGAACTAATGAAACAATAGTTCTATCAAATTATAGCTACGGAGTACCGGTAGGGTGGTGATGGCTTGCAATAGGAGATCTGGAATCGGCGAGTGCGAGTCTGTGAGAGGCAATAGTCTGGTCTCCGTAGTCAGGGTGATCGTCGATCAAGCATGAAAGTCCCATTTTGCTGTGGCTGTCACGTCAACGAGAAAAGAGCGGCAGTAATCGGCCAAGTCGTTGGCATTTAGGAACTCCTGATTTCTTGTTTCAGGAACTGGAAACCTGGAAAACGGTGTCCAGACAGAGTTGAACAAGCTTCGCAGCAGGTTTCTGATCTCGCAGCCTGAAGCTATCGACTCAGCCACAATATCCACGCTCAGATCATGCACCGCCACAGTTAATATCAGCTAGCCTATTTTGGAAATACCGAGGGATGCCGGTTATACTCCGTACAGATATAGAAGAGAAGGTGTGCCTTAAGTTCGGTCTTCTGGCGGTAGGTGTTCCTCTCTTTCTTGGATTCGTGTCGAGTTGAAGATAAAAAGGATAACACCAAATTCACGAGCTGGCACCAAAAAGCCATGTCTGACCCGTTGGAGACGTTGGAGGGGCACCTCTCAAATACTCCATCTGTTTCAAGAAGGCAGTATCCGATTGCTGGGATCCTCACAACAGTGTACGGACTGAATGAACTGTCCTCGCCAACCTCGGAGATCGCATGTCTCTGGCTCCTACATCCCAGGCTGGGAAGCCAGGAAGCAATGAGCCAACTCGCTACCTTGGCCATAACTGACTGGAACAAAAAGATCCTACAAGGCCAAGCTGGTCCCAAAGCCAAGGGGCTGATTGCGGTGTCATTCGACCAGAGAAACCATGGCACAAGAATCGTAGACCCGGTAGCCAATGAAGCGTGGAGATCAGGAAACCCTCGTCACGCTCAAGACATGTTCTCTATATTCCGTAAGTGTGTTCGGGTGAGATTATTCATTCTTTGCTTGCTAACAACCTCGGATCGAGCGCAGAGGGCACCGCACGAGACGTATCTCTTCTCATAGATTATCTCCCGGCCTTTGTGTTTCCTGAATCGGAGAAAAGGATTACGGAGCATCTGGTGCTGGGTGTATCGCTCGGAGCCTATGCAGCGTGGAGCTGTATCCTCCATGAGCCGCGGGTCAGCGCTGGTATCACCATTATCGGGTGTCCTGACTATGTGAACATCATGGCAGATCGTGCGCGGCTATCCAAATTAGCATCATGGAAAGGTAGCGAACCAGAGGGTTCACAGTTTCTGGGCTCCAAGGATTTCCCGTTTACTCTCCTGGAGACCGTTCGCCGCTTGGATCCTGCGAGTCTCTTCCTCAGTTACACCGGGCCTGAATCCGAGGTCATCATCTCACGGCCAAACCCGCTGCCCGAGCCAACGCCAGAACAGCAAGAGATCTTGCGTCCAGTTCTGTCTCGTTGTTTGGCCAGGAAGAAGATCTTGAATATCGCCGGCGGAGCAGACAAGCTAGTTCCATATCGCTGCGGAGAAGCTTTCTTGGCCTGGCTCAAGAAAGCTGTTGGACCAGATGGATGGTTCAAGGACGGCGCAGTCACTCTGGAAGACGTTATTGATCCGACAGCCAGGCATGAAGTGACGCCCAAGATGGCCGACGAAGCGATCCAGTTCGTCAGTCGAGTACTCTTGACCAGCAATACAACCCAGAAAACCGGCTTTGTCCGCCACTGCAAGATATAGTACCTAGAATTACAGCCAGTGATTTATTGCCTTGGAACTAGGGTTTATAATATCGCCTCTACTGCAACTTCTGCAGGAGTGAGCTTTTAACAGCTGCGGCAAGTAATTCTACCACATCGTACAATAGAGAAAGTTGCATAAATCAACTCATTACTTCAGATTGAAAAAGAAAACTTCCTCCTTGTGGTATTTGTTTAGCACAGTAAGATCGTAAAGGCATCCGGAAACTATGCTATGCTTGTTGCACAAAATAAAAGAAAATCCTTCCGTCAAGGGCCCGGATTCCTTTGATTTCCCACGATGCATCGCCCATGTAATGAATCTGTCCTTCTCCCTTTTCTCTTCAGGCAAGACAGGATTTTTTTTTCGTCCGTTACAAGGCCAGGCGAAAGTCATCGCAGCGTTGAAAACTCTTTATTTTTATCTCCATAATCCCCAAGCATCTTGCGCCTGAACTAAAATCACATCCGGTTTTTCTCCATTTATGCGACCAGCTCAACAACACCACCAGCCTCCTTGATCTTGCGCTCAGCGTCAGCGCTGAAGTATCTCGCGCGGACAACGAGGGGGATCTCAGGGATGCGGCCCTTTCCGAGGACCTTGGAGTAGCCGAGGGGGAGGAGGTCGATAACGGGGGCGGTATCAGTCTTCTTGCCGCTCAGGTAGGCATCACGCTCCTCGGTGGGGATGAGGGACCAGAGCTGTTTTTCAACAAAATTCCAATCAGCAACAGAACTTCACTTGTAATAATAATGAACCCCTCTCTTCAGATCCAGTATCCCATTGCGCCTTTGCAATTCCGTATCGTGTGCAGATTGCTCTCAAGTTCCCTTCTCTTTCCAGCTTCACGCAATGCGCCTTCTTCCTCTTGATATTCCCCGTATAAGAGACAAACGTACCTTGTCAAGGTTGATGGTGGGCTTCCAGAACTGCTGCTGGGTCTTGTGGAAGTAGCGCATACCGACCTTACCGAAGTAACCGGGGTGGTACTTGTCAAGGTTGGTACGGTGGTGGTGCTGACCACCGGCCATACCACGACCACCGGGGTGCTTGCGGTGCTTGCCAATACGACCGTAACCGGCGGACACATGACCGCGGCTGTACAGAGAAAAAGAATCAAAAGGTTAGCAACATGATCGTTTAAATCTGCAGGCAGACGCTGAAAATGAGGTGGTTTTGTTTTTTTTTTCTTCATTCGCGATGCGGGATCTCATCACAACGGTCGCATGATTTATCCACCACAACCAGGCCTGCAAGGTCGGAGAAAGCAAAGGGAGAGAATAGAACGGTTCTCAACTCACTGCTTCCTTGTCTTCGAGAAACGGGTAGGCATCTTGTCGGTGGTGCTGTACTCGACAAGACCGGTCTGAGGATTTGGCGATGGAGTCGGACGAAGTCACAGCTGGGCTCAAATGTTCAATTCAAGGTCGGTATCTGGGGCTAGAGTGTGCGCTAGTCCGTTCGCTTGCTTTGAGTGGCTTAGTAACCAGGGCTCAGGGCAAGCCGGTCATGTGACTCGGGCTTTCTTGGATCTCCACTGTTCTTGTACAGAAGGGGTTAGTAGAGTCTTGGCGGGCTAACCTTCCCTGTCAGGCCATCCAGGTCCACCGACTTTCCCATAGTAAATACTGTAGATACTCATAGTAGTTATGATGAAAACAAAGCTTTTCGGCTCTCTACGATCTCGAATTTCCTGCTTTCACAAGCTTGGGAATCCACAGCCTGCGAGGGCCTTGACACAATGTGTGCAACGGTCAAATATCGCCCTCGATGAGGAGCTTTTCCAGTACACTTCACGAAGATGGATGTAAGTAGTACTTGAGATACTAGACATCCCGTCGGACGAAGGCCGACTTTTTCAAAGCTTCAACGAACATCTGCGTCTTTCAGAACGGATCCTCGGGTTTGATGTGTCTGCCCTTCAAAACGTTGTTTCTGCTGCTTCTGGTCGTTCGATATCCGATCTCAGATCCTTTATTAAGTTATCAGAAGGCGGATTCAATCGTGTGTTTGAAGCTATCTTCAGCGATGGAAAATGTGTTATTGCGCGACTTCCATACCCAAGCACAGTACCGGAACACTACACTGTGGCGAGCGAAGCGGCGACTCTAGACTATCTCCGTCTACGTGGTATCCGTACACCAGAGGTGTATGCGTGGTCTTCGACAAGAGCGAATCCTGTTGGAACCGAGTACATTATCATGGAGAAGTTGGACGGTATCCCACTCGGCGATAAATGGTTCTCAATTACACCCAAGGAACAACATAAGATCATGAAACAGATGATTGAATTGGAGACGCAATTAATGTCACTACAATTTCCTGCGTCTGGAAGTCTGTACTATGCCAAAGACCTTATATCTGAGAGCAGGGTACAACTCGCGGACCCCAACGGTATGGCGTTCTGCATAGGACCAATAGCTCATTATAGTTGGTGGCATGACAAGAGGGATGTCTTGGATGTCGACCGTGGACCTTGTGAGTGAAGTTCTTTTCAAGCACTAGATTATTGACATTGCTGACTGCGAAAGGGGCATCATCAATGGAGATATTCCGAGCAGCTGGCGAACGTGAGCTGGCTTGGACCAAAGCCTATGCAAAGCCTCGCTTGCCCTATGAACGGCTTTATAGAGAACTCTACCATTTCAAGCATGTCTCACCCGATAGCCACATCGCAGATCTCTCCAACTATCTTAAAATGGTATCCTGCTTAGGATATGCGAAAGACTCTTCTTTGAATCGACCTGTCATGCGTCATCCTGACCTCCAACCAAATAACATCCTTGTGTCTGAATCAAATGAGATAATCGGACTCATAGACTGGCAGCATTGTTCTATTCTTCCTCTCGGCATTGCTGCTGGAATACCAGCTCACTTCCAGAATTACGGTGACCCCGAATCGGAGATGCTGAAACAACCTCAGCTTGCTCTTCCCTCAGATTATGAGCATTTGCCTCCATCTGAGCAAGCGTCGTTACGAGAAACTCATCGCAAAAGAATGATCCATTTTTTGTATGCTGCGTTGACCAAACGATTGAATAAAGATCATTATGATGCCATTTTCGACCAGTCGGTCATCCTCCGTCAGCGACTATTCAAGAGCGCTGGTACGCCCTGGGAGGGAGACTCGGTCTCACTGCGAGCAGAACTGATTCGCTCAATACAGAACTGGCTGACAATTGCCCAGGCAGGTGCTTGTTCGGTCGCTCCGGTGGTTTATCCTGAGGATCTTGTCCGGGAAACCCTTGACTTGGATGCCCGTCAGAAAGAAGCGGATACCGCAATGGAAGAAATGCGAGATGCTTTAGGTGTCGATGTTTTGGGTTGGGTGCCGAATGATGATTACGATGCTGCTAAAGCAGTGGCATATGATATGAAGACCAAAATGCTTGAAGCGGCTGAGACGCCTGAAGATGTCATTGATGTCCGAGACCATTTTCCTTTTGACGACTTCGACGAAAGCGCCTAGGCATTGTATTTTAATTCTCGCCTATTTTTCTATACCACTATCTCTGCAGCGCATATATATTTTATAGCCGTAGTGTCTTTCTACGAAGTCACGATGATGTGGTTATGACATGAACTCTCTTGTATAGTAGAAAGTTCTTGGCCTACAAATTTAACTAGCAGTTCAGACTGATAGGCTGACGAGGTGTCCTCACTATGCGTATCTCGGCAAGGCTATATCCTCAAGGGTCTTCTCAAGTATATTGCTATGAAGCGCCTCGTTTCGCAAAAAAACGAGACAAGTCCTGCACGACTGCTTGTGTTCGGCGGTCTGGAGTGCCAGGCACGAGACTTTGGCGGATCCATGCAGGCAGCTTCGCCTGGATACGTGTTGAATTGTATCTCTTGTCAATCATCACGATGACAGCGTAGTCGTTCAGATGCCTGATGGCACGGCCAATGCATTGATTGACGGCTCGCATGCAGGCGTTCTCGTAGAATTCCCTGCCCGCCGTTTTAGACGCTTGTTTCCTCGCGTCCTCGGGCCCAGACGCTTGCTCGTAGGCTCTGGTTTCCACGTATTGAATCTTTGCCTGCCAGACGGCACTTCGTATGTTCGGAAACGGCAGGCCGACCATTAAAACCCCTCTGCCTAGCCTGTCGGAGAAGTTGATGCCTTCTGATAACTTGCCACCCACCACGGACAGGAGAAGAGCCCCCGAGCCGGTTTCGATGGCATTGGAATACTCCTGGAGCAACTCTTCTGTCTTCATTGTTCCGCCTCGAGGCTCATATAGAACAGGCTTCTTTTTCTGAAGCATACTGAGTATGCTTTGCCCTGGTTCACTCGTCGAAGGCTTTTTCCATACCGACATGACGTGATCCAAGTAGTCGTAGCTTGGGAAGAATGCAACAACGCCATCGGGAATCGCTTCACATAGGGCTGAAATGGTTCGTCCTAGATCGATGATCTAAAAAGCATCGAGTTAGAGAAAATTCCATCTCTCAGTTCCAAGAAAGAAAGTACATACCATTTTTTCTGACGAACGCGCCTCAAAGGTAAAGTCGAATTCAGATCCTTGAATGCCTCTTACAAGGGACTGTGCCGTTAGATTCTCCGATGGGATAACGTGGCCATAGCTAAATGTATCTATCCGGCTTTTTGGAACATAGGAGAAAAGGTGGTTGAGATAATCTGACATCTGCATGGAATGAGCGGCAGTACGACTTGAAACAACCTGCAGGACTCACCGGTGACATAGTTCCACCAGCCAGTATTACCGCACGAGCACTCTCTACGATTTCTCGAAAATGATTGGTAGGGTCAAGAAGCATATATTCGAGTTGCACGTCCCCTTGGAGTTGATGGTAGAACAGGCGGCCCTCCACAGAAGGGTTCATAAGCGTCAGCAAAAAGCTCTGGATATGAAAAAGAACCGGCGTATGGCTTCTCTCTTTAGAGCCATGGCCAGGTTCTTGTTTGGAGAATTCGATATATCCGTCGACTTTTCTTGCCAGCTTGCTCTCTTGGAGATACTGAGACAACTTATAAGGGTTGATTTGGTCGACTCCCTTCCCAGACATGAGGTCCGAGGCCTGAAGGGTGCCCTCTTGTGGATTTTTCTTTTCCTGAATAGATTTGAGATAGACCGCAATCGAGCTGACCATTCTAATGACCTGAGCGACATAGGTCCGGTTTTTGCCTTTCAAACGGCTTTGGTACTTGCGGGCATATGTTGTCAGCTGGGAAATTGCTGTTTGTAGTTGAACCAGTGTGACCTTGGCGGAGTAAATATTTGATATAGCGTCCATGAGGTTGTGAGCCTCATCAATGATGACGATGTGATTCTTCAGGGAAAGATGAAGAGCTTCACGGGCTGATCGTTGAAGCAACAGTGGGTATGGAAGAGTCACAATCTATTCGATATTAACACTAGCTTGACTCAGACACGATTACTGCACTGACCTCGGTATTCTTTATGACTGAACGCGATGCATAATAAGGGCAAATACCAAGCTGCTTCCCGACTTTGCCAATGTCTTCGATATCCTTGATCGAGGCCAGGGTATGATCACGGAACTCGAGAATCTTTGCGTCCGTATCTTTGGAAGGCAGATATGGACACTTCTTGTCAGCGGACTGTCCTGGCTTCTGTAGATCCAGGCAACGCTCATTGATTGCGGTTGGATTTTCCAGGGCAAGAACCTTGGGGTTGATACAAAGATTCTTCCGAGACCCAAGGGATAGATGCTTTATTCGCTCCGCCAGCTCCGTGTCCTCTCCCAGAGCATCTGCAATTAAGTCTTTGGGTAGGCTGGACGACATAGTGACTCGTTGTAGCTCATGGGCAAACTGTGTCAGCTGGGAGTGGGTTCTCGAGCAGTAAAAAATCTTTACATCCTGGTCGTCCGAGTCTTCGGCTTCTGTCACGGCTGAAGCTTTGCCCTTGAAGCGCTCCAGGAGAGCCAGGGTGTCCGCAGACAGGCCCTCGAACTGTTCAGGCTCTGCTAACGGCCCTGATCGCTCTTCCCGATCGCTCTCGTAGTCGTCCAGCGCGAACTGGCTCTCATTTTGAAGGGTATCATCCACCGATTCCGACTCTACTTTCTATCTCGCCCTTAGAGTCAGTGTTATTGCACTTCAACTGCGGCTGGCATGAACAAAATAAATACCTGTCTCTTTTGTGGTCGTTGGCTGCTCTCTTGCCCCCGTCTCAGCCTCTCCTCTGCCTGCCGAGTTTTCGCCAGGCGCTTCTCAAATTCCCGGATCTTCTCTGTGGCTGCCCGGCTCGACTCGCGCTTTGCGAACTCGACCATCCAATCCGGATCGTCATCGTCGCCTAGTATAACAAAAAGAAAGAATCAGAGACAAGATCTTCCAGCTCTTCCAGCCAAAGAGCTCACAAGGGTCAACAGACCTCCGGTCTTATCGACCGCTTCTTGGAGTGCCCTTCGTTTGTGATCGCGCAACCATGTCAAAGAGCCACAGATCAGACTTAGTGATTTTCCCTACAGTAAGTATAGTACTTAGTACAAGAGAGATCCAGAAATAGCACATGGCTACGAGTGAGTCCCTTTAGGTCGACGGTGGGTTTCCCTGGTTTCCCTGGCCAGTCTACCGTTACGACTGACTCTACCACTCCGCCGCCACGGATTATGATTGAACGCTGCGAAGTCACTTACAGTGCCTAGAGAGTGCCCAAGGCAGTCAGATCAATTGTCACCACTCATAGACTAGTCTTACGTGAGCTCAGCTCGTCGTCCGTGGTGGGCTTACCAGTCGGCGACTCGAACACTGCCACTTTTCCCTCTTCCAAGCAGGTGTACAGGGCGCGCATGAACTGCAGCTGCGTCTCATAGGGAGAATAAGGGTGATGGAAGGTTTCTCCCTCCAGGTCCATCTTGCGTGGCAGGCAAGATACGGAGTAAACAGTCGGTGGTGCTCCGCATCCACTCAAGGGTCTTGCTCAAGGGCCGTCGGTTTGCTTTTCCCGTTCCCCTTTGGTGGGTCACGCCAAACACTGCCACTATCAGTCTATCACTGTATGACTATGTACTATGTACTGAGTACCTACTCCATAGTATTAACTACTCTGTAGCAGTTGGAATGAAGATTATGTTACTATAGCCAGTGATATTAGCATAAAATTTCTGGAAGAGCCTAGCTAGTTAGCTTGATAATACTGAGCAGCAGAGGGACTGGTAGGTATCAGGTAATTAACTATATAGTAACTACCTATTGACAGGTATAATAGACGAGCTTTCAGGGATTACTACATACTACATATACTACTACATAGATACTACTATATATAGAGACTCTATATACAGTACTAGTATACACGTTTAGTTATCAATAGTCAGTAACTTATAAGGAGGACCTCCTGTCCAGTATATATTTACCTAGTAAAGCACTAAAGGAGCTAGCTCGGTTTGGTCAGGTAATTACGTATCTGACACTGGCAGAACCCCGCCTGCCCACTGGCTTTATTTTCAACCGCGTAGGAGCAAATATAGCCATCGTCAGGAGGTTCTGTCCGACGAGATTTCGCCTGTTGCATCCCGAATACCCAGACCCCTGCCGAAGACCTGCTGTCGTGGCGCTCTTGTCTTTTTTTTTTGGCGGCTCTCAGAGATAGGTGAGGTCCTTGGGCTCGTAACACCCGTCGTATAGCCAGGTATTGCGATTTCCCCTCCTCCGGGCGTCGGGGGTTCGAGTAAGCTGCGCGTTGGGTTGCTGAGGCAGGCGAATTTCGCTCCCCGCTGGGCGCTGTGTTCTGTCTAATTATAACTCAATCATCTAGTGGAAGCTAGAAGCAATAATTTCCGCGCCGCCGACGATGAATAGGCCGCCGCCGCAGGGTCGTGGCCAGCCACGGCCAGGTGCTACATGGGCTCCAGGGGCGCAGGATGGCTTTTACGTGCCAGGCCCGGAGGTCATCTCCCCCTCCCCTCAAAGGTGTGTGTCACCTCCTCTCCTTCCAACCATGCCTTCGCGCTTCATCCGACTAACCACGCGAACGCCAGGGTGATGCCTGAAGTTCCCGAGAACATGCAGGACAATCTTGCCCATCTGGAGCAGGAGGCTCGCGACTCTCACCGCAGCTACCGCGCCGCACCCCAGTATAACAACAACCCCCAATTTCCTGAGAGAACCGCTTCATCTCACGGCCCTGTTCAGTCGCCGCCGCCGCCGTCCGCTCCCATGCATTCCGCCGGGTATGGGTACGAAGACACTACTTCGTACGAGCAGCACTCCGCCTACGACACCATGGACCATCCCAACTTCTCGCCCTTCCCCGTCCTCCGCAACCCCCCTCCAAACGTGCCGCCCACCGATGAGCAGCGAGAGGCCAACCTCGAGCGGGCGCGTCTGGCCGTCTTGTCGTCCAACGACCCGGAAATGCAGCTGGCGTGGGCTCAGGATGCGCTCACCTACGTCGAGATCGCCGCGCAGAATGAAGCCCGGCTGTCGCTGATCCAGCCGCCGCGTCCGCAGACCCCGCAGGTCGAACACCAGCTCAAGACCGACGCCATGAACATTGTCGGCTTTCTGGCTGACCAGCGCCACCCCAAGGCCGAGTTCATCAAGGGCATGTGGCTGGAATTCGGCAAGTTTGGCTTCCGCGTCGACAAGAAGGAGGCATTCCGCTGCTACTCGCGAGCGGCGGAGAAGGGATACGCACGGGCGGAGTATAGGATCGGGATGCAGTTTGAAAGCTCCAACGAACCAGAAAAGGCTACCAGACACTATGAAAAGGGCGTGAGCCTAGGCGACTCTGCGTCTTACTACGTGAGTATTTTTTTTCTCGTTACGAGTGTCTTTCACTTGCTCATCGATATCAGCGTCTAGGTATGATGATCCTTTTGGGCCAACATGGTCAACGACAAGATTACGCGATGGGTTTGGACTATATTCGACTGGCTGCCCAGACATGTGACCAGAATGCCCCCCAGGGTGCTTATGTGAGTAACCAATCCGGTTTGCTGGCCTTGCCCCTTGCCGTCTGACACGGAATTTCCATAGGTGTTTGGTATGCTTTTGGCCCGAGAGCTGCCGCAAGTCAGCGTTCCCGAACAATTCCTCCCGCTCGATCTGAATGCCGCTCGTGTCAACATCGAGAAGGCGGCCTATCATGGCTTCGCCAAGGCCCAGGTCAAGATCGGTGCGGCCTACGAACTGTGCCAGCTGGGCTGTGACTTCAATCCGGCTCTGTCTCTGCACTATAACGCCTTGGCAGCCCGTCAGGGCGAGCCCGAGGCAGAGATGGCCATAAGTAAATGGTTCCTCTGTGGCCATGAGGGTGTATTCGAGAAGAATGACGAGTTGGCCTTCACCTATGCTCAACGCGCCGCTCAGAGTGGTCTCCCGACCGCGGAATTCGCTTTGGGATACTTCTATGAAGTCGGGATCTATGTTCCCGTGGACATCAAAGAGGCGCGAAGCTGGTACGCGAAGGCGGCGGCAAGTGGAAACAAGGATGCGACAACCCGCATCGACAGCATCTCCCGGTCGAAGACACTGTCAAGGAAGGACCACGAAAGGGTGGCCATTGCTCGAATCAAGTCCCGGTACGGCTCCCATGGCCGCCAGAATTCTTTGGATCCAACTCCGGAGAATCTCGAGATGCCCGATCCCTCCAGGATAAGTCTCTCAGACCCCCCTCCCTCGGCTGCCCCGTATCCCGATCAATCGGCTCCTCGGCCTCGACCCGGTCCCGGTGGCCAGCCGAGCTATCCTAACGATCCTAGGCCAAGTTCTGCCTTTGGCATCAACCCCAACATTCGTCCTAATACCGGATCCAACTATGGCCCTCCTCATCCGCCCCCTAATAACCGTGCCGCTTCATACGGCCCGGGAGGTCCCGGACCTGGGGGCTATCGTCCCTCTGGACCTGGAGGTCCGCCGCCGGGCGGCCCTGGTAAGCCAGGCCCGGGTGGAGCAGGTAAACTCGATATTGGATACTCTGCGCCCATGGAACCGGCCGGAAGAAGACCCCCTCCCAACATGGGAAAACCTCCCGGCCGTCCGGACGGGGGATACCACGGTCCCCCAGACCGAAGGCCGCCGCCAGGGAGAGCCCCGGCGTCACCACACCTGCAGGGCTCCTCAATGCCCAACTCACCGCATCTGTCAGGGGGGTCTCCCGTTTCTGGCACCTTTCCTCCTCGTATGGAGTCCAGGCCGCCGCCACGAGATTCAGCCTCTTCCACCCCTAGACCCTCGGCACCATCCTCGGCACCACCCTCGGCACCACCCTCAGCACCCCCTTCAGCACCCCCTTCAGCACCACCATCTACTGTCGCGAGCTCCCCCAAGCCCGCCGCTCAGCCTGCCAAGCCGCCAAGCAAAGGACCCAAGACGTTCGAAGAAATGGGCGTTCCTGCCGTCAAGAACGATAGTGATTGCGTATGTCCACCAGACCTCTCTCTCTCCTTCCAACTACAGTGCGCATGACTAACCTTTTTTTCTCCCACTAGATTATAATGTGATACCCATACAAAAACAAGGTCTAATACCCCCAGCCAAGGCCCCGCCGGCCTCTCTCTCTTTCTCTCCATTCAGTTACATTGCGTTTCTTCTTGTTCTATTTTTTTCAATCTCCCCTTTCTGAATATCGTTGGGTATAACAGACGCTGCATGTTTTCTGCCGGGGACATAGCGATTATACTTGATTTTCTGCTCTAAAGTCCTTGTACTCGATGCTAAATTAAAAAAAAAGCCTCCTGTTATTCATACCTATTGACCATGGGTTCATGTCTGGCTTTAATACCATGAGCCTGTTTCTCTTATCCTAGGGATAATCGCTTTTCAATGAGGATATTTAGATTCTAGCCTTTACTCTAGATTTAAATGGGGTTGTTCCACGTGATGAACTCGAATAGGTATCACGGACACGTCCGAGTCATCACACCCTGCTACTGTCTGCTCTATAACCTTGAATCATCCAAACATACCCTGAAACTCTTACTCTACTATCTATTGCTTTTGAACAATGGCATCTAGAAAAACCAAGCCAGACAAATCTGCCAGCAAAGGTGGTGTGTATCACGAAGCTATCCTATCCGTCACCAGTGGACTCATGATATCTTAGACGAGGGGGTTGTTTTGATCCTTGATTATCTCCGTGAGTATAAAGTCTGAATGTATACGATCTTCACTCGACGAAGAATGCTGACAAGCACGTCTAGGAGCCCAAAAGTATGGAGCTTTATATCTTGTGCGGTTCATGATGGATTGACTGACATTCTGCGTCCAGCCGTCCCTACTCGGTATGATGGTATAATGAACAATTGGAAGACGGGTCATTCTAAGGTCCTCCTTTAGGCAATTGAGATATCTGCAAATCTTCACAACAAGGTCACCAAGGGTAAGAAGGACACTGCCTACTCTGAAGGAACTGTCTGACGCACTTATTAAAAAGCCAACGCCGCGAAGATCCTCAAGGAGCTACATGGCAATGAAGAGATTGAAGGACGAGTGTCTGGTAATCCCCGGCCTATGGAATTGATGATTTGCGATGAAACAACAGCTAATGACGAGATCATCCTTAGGAAAGCAAATCGTCTACCACGCCCTGCAAAGTCCAGAAGACGATGCTAGTCCAGAAGGTCTTGCGGATCTCGAGGGGGAGGTCAAAAGATTACAAGAGCAGACCACTGAGTTCAAAGCAAACGAAAAGAAAGTCAGAGCAGAGCTTGTTCTCCTCTGCGCGCGACCTACTCTTTCCGAGCTGCGGCAGGACCTCACTCGACTCGAAAGGGAGAAGGTTACAATCGTGAAGAGCCTCGAGGCACTACGCAGCACCGAATCCGTCCCCGTCTCCGTCGAAGAGAGGGCCGAGGTGGACAAGGAATGGAAGAAATGGCAGAGACACGCGAGCGCACGAGCTCGGATCTGTCAGGAGCTGTGGAGAAGCTGCTCGGAGGTTCTGCCTGAGAATATGACCCGAGCAGAGCTTTGGGTTCGTCGATCGTGCTTCAGATACTGTAGATAATTGACTGAGAGGTTTACTTAGGAATCCTTGGGTCTCGACGGTAATTGCGACTAATTCTGGCTCCAAATATCGTTTCATATGCGCCTGACAAGCTACCACACCAGAAATGTGAGAGAAAACATATGTTCAATGAGGAGAAATTCGATAAGGCTGAGTGAGGTGCGAAACAAGGCTGGAAATGGAGCCATACAGGCGATGAAAGAACGCTACTAATTCACATTAAATAAGGCTGGTGTGTCGCGGGAAACCTCATCAGTTGCTTTTTAATTGACTAGTGGTCTATATGACGCCTCAAATAAGAAGTCAAATTCCCATCAAGGCATTGCTATACGCCTGTAGTTGGTTAACCTGCCAGTCACCTGTTGGGGCGGGTAGCGTAGCATTCGTGGCGGCGAGGTTGAAGCTTGCAGCTAGTTAGCTATGCCATCGAGTCTTTCTCCCCTTCACCGAACAGAGGCTTTCTTCAAATTCAAAGGGAAAAAAATCCTCCTTCCCCTTCAATCCAATCGAGAAAACCCTTGTTCGGCTAGTCAAGCGAGGTCCTGGTGCCATCGCAGGGCGTTGTTGCGTGGTGAATAAAATACCGGCGATTTCACCCCCCACCCCGTTCTTCCGATAACGTTCGACCCCTCTGTCTGCCTCTCTGATCTCTCACTCTCGCCCCCCCCCCGATCCGCCCTGCCAGCGATGCAGCAGCAACCCGCGCCGCTGCCTCCCTCTCGATCTGCCCATCCTTTGCCTGCGCAGACTGGCTCCTTGTCGGATATGAGAACCCGTGCGCCGCTCCCTGTTCCTTCTGGCCCCGGAGTGCAACCACAGCAGCAGCAGCAGCAGCAGCAACAGCAACCAGGCCACTCCCGCAATCCTTCAGGCTTCGAAATGGCCGCCCGCAGCCCTCCCAACCACAGCAGTAAGAGATGGCTTTGCACCGCCAGTGAATTTCTGGCGGGTTTCCTGTCAATTTCTGACGGTCTATATTTCCATGGCTAACTTTAAGACCCCCGTCTGCGTTCAGATACCAAGCATGTGCCCTGCAAATTCTTCCGGCAGGGTGCTTGTCAGGCCGGCCCTGCCTGTCCGTTTCTGCACTCGACCGACGCCGCTGTAGAATATGCCCCGTGCAAATATTTTACCAAGGTACGCTGATTTGCTGGGAGGGGGGCGACTTGAGAAACTGATGCAGGACTAGGGTAACTGTAAATTCGGGGCCAAATGCGCGCTGGCGCATATTCTACCGGACGGCCGGCGAGTGAACCGGCCCAGCGCGGGCTTAGGAATGAACGGCGGCCATCTCAATCTCGGGGGCCGTGTGAACCCCCAGGCGTACCTCAACCAAGACTCTGCCTTGACAAATTCGGTGCTCTCGCAACAGCGATTGAACGGACACGATCCGCGGTATGGTGGCCAGCACGCAGCGCAGGACGAATACGCACCCGCACACGGAAACCCACAGCCGGCCTACGACGCGATCCCGACGATTGATACCGGGTTTGCTTCGGAGGCAGGGTCGAAGTATGGATCGCCGGTCGATGAGAGCCGACTGCCCTTATCGCCGAATCGCCACCTCACCGCGCTCGATGCACCTCTTCCCGCGTCCTTTGACAGCCAGGGCATCTCGCATGCTGCTCGCTACGGCCCTGTGGCGGCGTCGATGCCGTCGAAATTCGGGTTGGATCTCTCGTCACCGCCGCCTCCGGTACAGCGACCGGGAGGTCCCGTGGACGCCTTCCGGAACATTCGCGATGTGGCCTACGGCTCTGAGCTGAAGAAGACGCCTTCCTTCATGGGCTCATCCCCGCCCCCGATCCCTGAAGATACGATGGGTCCTAGGTTCCTCCATTCGCAACGGTCTGTCAAGCCTCGGATATTCTCGGCGAGTGTTCCTCGGCCCACCGCGCTGGATGATTGGGAGGATGGAAACTTCCCCATGGAAGAAGACTACCTGCCGATGAACCTTCATGATGATGTCCTTACTCCACAGGAAAAGCTGCGGCGTCTCTCGCGTACAGACCATGAGTTCAGCTCCAGCCACCGGGATCTCAGTGGTCTCGGTATGACCAGCACCAGCCTTTCTAAAATGGGCTCTCCTCTAGCATCTAGCCCGTCGCGGTTCGGTGCATTGTTTGCAAAGCAACGGCAAAAGAAGGAGGAAGAAGGCCACGGTTCCTCCTTCACCCACATTGGCTCTCCTCTACGCGAGTCTTCTTTGAACCTGAACCTTGGAACCAGTCCCAGTCTAGGTGCCATTGGCAGTCGGCAGTTTTCGGGAGATGTTTCGCCATTTGTCTCTAGTCCTGCTCGCCAGTCTTCCATGTCTATGATCTCGCAACAACTTAACGGCATGTCGCTCCATCCAGGCTCTGTCCGCCATTCTTCGACAGGCCCCAATAGCCGCCTCGACCGCACAATTTCTTCCCCGGTCAGTACTAGCAGGATTGATGAGGAGCAAAGCGACTTGGTTTTCTCTATGGAGGAAGAAGAGAGTAACAAGCGGAGCACCGACTCCTGAAGCAACAACAAGACCGACTCCAACAATAACGAGAGACCTCCCCCGCTAACGCTCTGGATTTCGAGCCCTGCCTGACCCTCTCGCCATTATTTACGTGGGGGAGACATGACCTTCCCTTTCTTTCATGAAACCAAAAGTCTGCTCACATTGATTCCAAAAAAAAAAGAACATATTATGGGAGGAGTTTGATTGAGAGAAAAAAAGAAAGATAAAAGTTTCAGGTTTGGGTTTTTTTCCACCATTTGGCCTCTCAATTGCATCATCATCACCTTGATCTGGTAAGGAAAAAACATCAGTCTCCTTCACTGCTCACATATCCTTGGTTTGAGGTTCTACATAGATTGAATGTTTGATACGGTTCTGGAAAAGCTGTGGCCCCCAGTCTCTACAGCCTTCTTATTGCCGGTCATTTAATAGATAAAGTCTTGGTTTACCTTTCCTTTTTCCCCCTACATTCTGGCGTGAATGGTGTTTCAGATGAAATATTTCTTTCTTTTATTCTTAGCATTGATTCTATAGTCATCATCCACTCATCTACCTTGTTTTCTTTTTCCTTCTGTATCTGGGTGGGTTCGGTCCTCTCATTGATCTACAGAGAAGAGAAGTCGCAATCTACTGTATCATGTCTGCTCAGGTCTAATGTATCTACCACACCTACATTATTTGTAAAGAGGAATAGAATACTACTTTCCCCCCTCTATCTATCCATTAAAGCAATCGCATGTTATCTATTGTCATTTATTAGTCCGGACATATGGCCTGCTTCGAGCAAATTCCAAGTTCAGCCTATAGCGGTGCCACTGGCACTGGCATCTTGGAAGACGACGAATACGCATATCACAATAGACCGATTAGAGAACTACTATAGGTACCCGATTTCCGCAATTAATTGAAAGGGAACTTCAATCTACCATTCCTGACTTACACTATGCCATCTTGCTGGGGCGCATAGCAGGATACAAAGAAGGGAAAAAAAGACAGGCAGTATTAATTTGAAGAAAAAGCGTTGCAATAGCCCCTAATTTAATGCCCCGACCCATCAATTCCTCAAATCGATATCACCCATATAATATGCATTGCCCTTGAGGCCAACCAACTCGGGCGATTCCGACTGCGCAGCTTGTTCTAATAAAAGACGGTCTGCTGTGATCTTGCGCTCCAGCCTCTCGACATCCTCCCGGAGACTGGCCTCCGCGTTTGGGATCTGAAGTTCCTCGTAGAGCTTATTGGCTCCAGCCAGGACCTGGTCAGTCATGGCCTTGACAGCCTTTGACTTGAGGGCCTCGATTCGCGAGAGAAGATCAGTCTCCTCCGCTGCACGGAGCCGCTTGATGCCGGCCTGCTCTTGTTCCTGCTCCTCTTGGAATTTGCGTTTTCGCTGCTCGATGAGACTGCGCCGCTCTTCACGGGCGGCAAGGTATCGAAGCGAATGGCCCAGGCTCTTTTGGGCCGGGGGGAGGATGTCCATCGGCGGAGTAGAAAAGAAAAGAACATGTCCTTGATCATCACAGTGAAACTGCTCACGGATCTCAAGGGGAATGGCGGCATTTGCAGCATCGCTCAGGTGGAAAACTTCAATGGGGCGAGGCGCATTGGGGTTGTACACTGTCGGCATCGTGTGTATACGATTTGCCTGGTAAGGCGTGTAAGCAGATGGAAGTGCAGCGTATGGCGAGGGGACTGCCTGTGTTGGGTAAGCAGCTGGGAGAGGGGCTTGCGGAGCAAAGCCGCTTGACCGCCGCTGAAGGGTGGGTTGGTAGACAGGAGCTGGCATGACCTGAGGCTGCTGTTGGTATGCTGGCGATCGGATCTGGGCTGCAGGGACCTGGGTCGCCGGAATTGGTGCAGCAGGAGACTGTGAAGGTGGTACGGCGTTGGTCATGATACTGTCGCCTTGACTATCTAGTCCAGGTCGTGCGGGAGCCTGACTGATCGATGACGGTCTAGGGATTTGAGGAAGTGTCGCCTGAGGAAGAGGTTGTGGGGGTGGAGAAGGAGTTGGCTCGGGGGGAGGAGACTCCTAAAAAAAAAGAAATAAGTTCGAGCTTTCGGGCATTGGAGAGTGTACGAGAACTCACATTTTCATCTCGTGGACGACGATGGACCGCCCCAACAACTGGCGGCGCATTTTCTGCGCCCCAAGTCGGCTTGGGAAGGTCATCAGTTTCCTTTGCATCTTGCTTTAATAGATGTTTTATGGGACTCGGGATTTTTCTGATCTTCCGGGGAACATCGAAGAGATCCATTTCGTAGTCCTTTTCTCTGACTTCATCCGGCAGGCAGCTAGCCCACGTTTTGATCTTATTCAGTTTATGTTTTTCTTCGTTGTACCGAGCTTCACACACATAGACCTCTTTGTCCGGAGGGAGACCGCGAGGTCGCCCCCTGTTGTAGCGAGTGAAGAACATGACAAAGCACCGGTCAATCACCTCGTCGATCCGATGGTCTCGGTACTGCCCCGTCTTGACAACCTCGTTGGGGTAGAAATGCTTCTCGAAGTGGTGGACTGTTTGTTCTGGCCGATAATACCAACAGGCATTGACCCATTTGTCTCCCTCAGAGTCCTGCCAGGTTCGATAGATTTGGCCCACGATGGGCTTAGTCACGTCGTTGGGGTTCTGAATATGAACCCAGTCTCCGACTTTCCACAACTCCGATTTATGAAAGATACCATCAGGAAGGGGCAAACGGCCGTCCTCCATGAGATACTCGGTATCCGGTTTCTTCTTTTCCTGCTCAGCCAACTTGCGAGCCTCCGCCTGCAAATCGGCAGCGTCTCTGTAAATCTGGCTGTCGGGTTGATTGTAAAACTTGGCGTTGTTGAACATCAAGTCCATATCACGCATGAAGTGATCGACCGAGTTGTATTTCTTCCGCTTCGACTTCCTCTTGATAAGGTCGATAGCAATTGGTTCTTTGATCTCCATGTAGTAGTCCGGATAGACCGCTTTATCAGGCAGCCTTTCGAAATGCCGGACCTTGAGCTGGCCATGGGGATCCTTCAATTTCCGTATACCCTTCAGGACAGCTTTGATTCGCGCTTCCATGGGCGTATCGACACGGGGTGGTCTGCCTCTCTTCTTCCTACTCTCCGGTTCATGAGACTTTTGACCATCTTCTCGAGCGCCCTCTCGCTTGCCAGGTTGCCGACCAGGCCGTTTTCTCTTCCGTCGGCTTTCGTCATCAGAGTCGTCCTCGTCGTCTTCGTCTTCATCATCTTCATCATCGTCCTCCTCTTCTAGAGGCAGAGGGTCGGCCTCGGGAATCTCTCCCAGGTCAGGCAGCTCTGCCTCTTCGGCGGCAATAAGGCCCTGTTCGACTAGTTTCGCAAATTCTGCGATGAAAACATCCTAAAGTAAAGAAAATAGATAAGTCCTATGGTCCAAAGGGAGAAGAGGGAGAGAGTACTGATCCAGCGATTTACATACTTTTATCACAAGCGCATCTTCGTATGCTTGAGAGTTGGGACGGTTGTATGTTTGCGCATTATGCGGGATCTATCCACAACTATAGTTAGTATGCGCAATTGATGAGAGTGGCGAGTCATGGTTTATGGCAAGTGATTAGTCGCATACCAGAGCGCAGTCCCGAACGAACTCAGCAAACTTCTTATACTCGCGCTTGTTAATCTTCTGCTTCAGGATACTTAAGGCCATGGGCTCCTTGATTATCTCGTAGTAATCGGGGACATTGCGCTTGTTGACGCTGCGTTGGAATAGCCTGGAGGGATCATGTCCACTGTTGTTTGCCCGAGTGATTAGCTCCTCATGTAATCAAACAGACATCACGCGTTCCTTACTCCTCTTCTCTGTACTCATAGATTGCCATAACCACATCCATCATGGTCTTCCATTGTTCGTCGCTTACTCCTCCCACCGCCACCGGCTGGCTAGTGTCGCCCTTGTTGCCATCCTCGATTGACTTGACGGGCTCGTCAGGCTTTTGCTCAACCTGAGCTTCCGGGTTGGCGCCTGTATCCATTTCCCAATAGCTGCGCAGGAAGCGATTGGCACTGGGCCACTCTCTAGAGTTCACGGGCAACAGCGAAGCGTGGAAAAACGATCTGTAGCCGACGCAAAGGCGAAATGCGACGACCGCGGTCGCGATAACTGCTGGGTTCGGCGGCAGGAATCGCGTTGGTGACTAAGCGGAATGGAACGTCGACACAACCATCTAATGAACTAGGGTATTTAGGTACCTGTTAGTTAATTACAGCTTCACATTTATATGCTCTTATATCTTCTAGCCATTTCAGCTAGCTAAATCCTTAGTTTCTTTATCAATATTATTTTTCCTTATTCCATCCTTCTATATTCTAATAGAGCTCTAGTAGTGATCAAATACAACTCTTCTGGAGCAGATATATAAATATTCATAACACCTAGCCAGCATTGAGTTATAGTAACAATGAGCCCATATCTTTTCCAACAGAGCATACTACTTTCCTACTTAAAGAAGAGCAACCCCCTCCATATAAAGTAGAAGATTTCTACCCAGTTCACCTAGATGAAATCCTTTCGACAAGGTACAAAGTGCTTACCAAGCTTGGTTATGGGATCTCTTCTACAGTTTGGCTATGCTGCGATCTCGAGTGGGTATCTCTTTGTCAATAGTTCCTGCAGTGATTCTAATATATCGGAGACCAAACCAACATTTGACCTTGAAGATTGGTGTTAGGAAGAGTGACTATCCACGTAGTTCTTTTTGCTAGACTCGGGATTGATGAAGAAAATACACTTATACAAATCACATAACCTCAATTCCACCATCATTATCAAATATAATATCTTTAGACCCTACAGCAGTCAATTTATACTACCAGGATCTACTATCAATCATTATTATTTCCTTGCTGCTGATTGACTGATAGATTGTTTATATATCTACGTAGTTAATCTTATCCTAGGCACTGCCCCACCTATGACTTGCGCTGTCTCCGACCAGCCATTTATTATCATTGCCAGCTGGTGATAATCAAATCACAGTTGGCCGGCGCGCTTTTCGCTACTCTCCCCGAAAATGAGGCTTCGGGTTCGCGGGCCTGCTGGGCAGTCCACTGTAACCCTGGAGGATCTGGCGACTGTCGAGGATCTCCACACCGTGATTGCGGAGAAGACTGGCTTGACGACCTATGACGCCAAATACGGCTATCCAGACATCAAGCCACTGGATCTCAGCATCTTCGCGCCGGGGCAGAAGATCACAGATATCGGCATAAACCTGAATGGGGAGCAGCTTATCATCACGAAAAGGGAGGACGGAGCCAATGGCGGCACTCAACACCAACAAGAACAGCAACACATCGACATTAGGGTGCCGCCGTCCCAACAGCCCCGGAAGGAACATGCTCAGGACTCGGACGATCCTCCCGAGATTGCCTCTCCAGAACACTCAGGCACGTTTGTTCTCCGGATCATGCCAGATGACAACTCGTGTCTCTTCCGTGCCGTAGGCAGTGCTGTCACGGGAGGCATGGATACCATGAACGAGCTGCGTTCCGTTGTCGCGCAAACGATCCAAGCCAACCCAGACGTCTACTCGGAAGCCGTGCTGGAGAAGAAAACAGATGACTACTGCCGATGGATCCAGAATGAGAACTCGTGGGGCGGAGGCATCGAGCTCAGCATCCTCAGTAAGCATTTCGACATTGAAATCTGTTCGATCGACGTCCAAAGCCTGCGGACAGACCGTTTCAACGAGGGCGCTCCAACTCGATGCATCGTCGTCTACTCGGGGATTCACTACGACACCATCGCCCTCTCCCCCTCTGACCCGCCTTTCACTCACGCCTACGCACCCCCGGACTTCGACACCAAGATTTTCGACGCCGCGGACCCCGTGGTGCTCGACAAGGCGCTGGACCTGTGCAAGGTCCTTAACAGCAAGCATTACTTCACCGATACGGCCGGGTTCCGCATCCGGTGCAACACATGCAAGGGGATCTTCATTGGCGAGAAGGGTGCCGCGCAGCACGCAACACAGACGGGTCATTACGATTTTGGCGAGGCGGACTAGCATTCATTACCTTGTCAAAACTTTTTTAAGTATATTTACCATCAGACATTCTTGAATAGAACAGAGATATTCTTAATGTAAAACTTTTATATCCAGCTGAGCTGGTTCGTCGCCGGGTGTCGTCGGAAAATACGCAAGTAAAGTCATGATTAGAAAGAATCAATTATGAATTCAACAATGTTATATTTTCTTTTTTGCCGAGGTATCATTTCAATCGTTTACTTTCATGCGGGGAGGTTTCATACCATGGCCACTTCGTCCGCTTCGTCCTCATCGGCTTCGTCGCCAGAGCCTGCGCTCTCGTCCGGATTCCCTCCCCATTCCACGTCATGGTCTTTGGGTTTCGTGAAGAATTCATGCTCCAAGGCCTCACGAGCACTCAGCCGCTTGCTGGGGTCCAGCTCCATAAGACCTGCCAGCAGACGAGTGGCTTGTTTCTCGCTCTCCGTCAGGTCCTCGACGCAGCTGGCCCATTTGATCAGCTTTTCCCAGTTGTAGCCTTTGTCGCCGATCGTAGGGATGTTTGACTCAAAGATCTGGCCGTGTAGCGCCGCAGCTGCCTTCATGCGTTGTGTACCGAAGATGCTCGCCATCTCGATCATCGCGTCAACATCGTCTGCGGAATTGAAGAATGGGAATCGACGTCCGAGCAGTGTGAGAAGAATGACGCCCGCAGACCACATGTCGATCTTGGTCGTCTGCGAAGTGCATTTGAAAAGGACTTCGGGGGCTCTGAAACCACGGGTGCCCGCCCGGTTTGCACGTCGTGACGGCCTCGAGTCATTCTTAGGGTACCCGTTGGCGAGGACGGATGTCGAGTTTGTGGAGTAGTAGCTCCCGAGGATTCGATTCCGCCGTACATGTGATGGGTTGACGCAGAGACAGGTACCTGTGTATTCAGAGCCCTCGCGCTATCACACTAGTTAGTCAAACCCACGAGCAAGAAATACGATCACCACTGAAAAAGACATACCTCTGCAAGACCAAAGTCTACCAAGACACCTTCTCGAAGATCTGGGTTGTATAGGAAGTTACTGCAGCCGTTAGTCATCATAGTGTCACAATAACAGCGTTTATCAGCTCAAACATACGTAGGCTTGATATCCCGATGAAGAATGTTGTGTTTATGCACAGAGACCAGGGCAGTGAATAAAGAACGAAAGTAGTGGCGCATGTCTGCGACTAAGAATGTCCGGTATTGGATGCGAAAATCGCTATGTGGGAAGTAAGGCAAGACTGCGACAACCTGATCCTGATGTCGGAAAGCTGTGATCAGAGGGCACACTGATTTGCAGCCCCGGAGATCGTGAAGTAGCTCCAACTCGTTCTGAATGCGTAGCGGGCTACTGGTCACATAAATCTTTTTGACGGCAACATATCGAGGCTGCCTCCGTTTCGTGGGCATTGACTGTCTGTCTCCTGCACTGAGCCTTCGCCTCTTCGAAGGGGGGGCAGCCCAATTGTCCTCTTGGGCCTCTTGAAACGCGTCCCAGTCATTTCGATAGTGGTTATATAATAGGTCTTCGGCCTTGTACACTGTAGAAAAGGTACCTGTAGGAGGCAGCGGTTAGCTAGAAGAAATCTTGGTTCCTGGCGAAAGAGAGGCATCGTACCTTCTCCAATCCGATTCACAAGCCTAAAGCGATCTGAGATACCGGGGAAAGTATCCTCCAGTCTCTTCATGTCCTCTTTGACCGACTCGTCGACCTCCTCTACTTCTAGTGTCTCCTCCGCGCGACAAGCTGCTTGAGAATGGTCTGCAGAACCCTCACTGTCTGTCTCAACATCACCCTCTGTTGTGTATTTGAAAGCGCTTTCTTTATCATATGACAAGGTTCTTTGCGAATCAGAGGCCCTGACTGGCCCGGTTGTATAGAGACTCGACATGCTGCTGACGTATGGAAGGCAGGGAGGGAAGCCTCTCTGGAGAGAATCGATTTGACCAGCTTAATTGGTGTAGAAAACGAACGTAGAGAGAGGAATCATTGCCTCATTACATGAGAAACCAAGTCATCAAGCTTCAACCCAAAGATAACACCATCCGAAGGTCACGTCGCGTGAGGAGCATATTGCAATGCAGCGTGCTTCGAGGTTCCAACTTCTGTTTTGCACTGAGCGGGTCCTCTTTAAGAACATATAACTACACCCAAAGACAGTATAGTGTGTACCGACCGTTTCAATACAATACATTAACTGATACAATAAATTTCTGTAACCCATACACAATCTTCATTAAGTATTTATAATAGACCTTTAATAAAGACTATATAAATTAGTATCAGGTCTCTTTCTATATATAATAAAAAAGAAGATTTAAGATTGGTTGCTATATAAATAATATACAGTATCAATGGACGCTGCTTTACAGCGCCACTTGGAAACAACCAAAGAGGGAAAATACAAACAAAGCGTTCCCCGCGCGGCGGTCGACATTTTAAAGTGACTCCCGCCTAAGCGTCTTCCGACGTCAATTTTGACTGCGACGACGCTCTTGCGATCATTCCTCTGACTCGCCCCTGGAACTGCTCCTTTAGGTGATATTCACCGTCAGCCGTCATGGAGGATAGGGTGCAATTTGATTTGAATGAGTCGCTCAAGTACTATCTGAGCGACCCGACCTCTGTGCCTACACCTGATGCCGACGCAGAACTGTTGGACTGCGAGGCGGATCCTGAGCAAATATCTGCGTCTTTGATCGATAATGTTTTGAATCCAATCGTGGATGGGATTGCAGAAAGCCCGGAAGCAATCACACGGGCATCGTCGTTCGACTCGTTACAACTTCTCTTAAAGTAGGCCAAAAGATGTTTCTTTGGAATAGCTTATCGGACGTGCTGACACTCCCCTAGATATTCTACATTCCTCCCTACGAAGTCTCTGAGTAAGCTCCTTGATCTAATTGTATCGGGCTTGTCTGTCGAAGCGGATATCATCCATGGCGACCTCGAGTCCGACGAACAGGACGCAATCCTGCACCATAAACAGCTGCTAGAGATGTACGGATTTCTGCTCCAGTGGGCTCTTTCTGCTGTCGAAGTTAAGGCAGCGGAAAAGCCTGCAGATGCGTTGCCCACTCGTCGAGGTCCTGGGAAATCATCAAAATCAAAATCGAGCGCAAAGGACGGTGCCTGGGACTCGGCATCTCAGATTCAGATCTCAATGGAGACTATGTGCAAAGTGATGAAGCTGAAACTTGGGAGAATATTCATGACCACATCGGACCGTGACACATTCATTAACCTGTTCACTCGTTCGATATACTTGATCCTGGAGAGCGAGCAACGGGTCAAGAGCATGACAATCCGCATGCACGCTTTCAAGGTCCTTTGCATTGCTGTCAAGCATCATGGCCACGCATTTGGTGGGTTCTATACAGCGCACGGATTCGAAAATTCAACTAATTATCGACCTAGGAGCGCAAACATCGATCGTGCAAAGCTTGACATATTTCGAGCATCTGTCTGAGCCCATGGCAGAGTTTCTCCATATTCTCGCGGAGCAATATGATTACCCGCAACTTTCAGATGAAATTCTCAAGTGAATGCAACCGAATCGAATCAAAGTGGAAAAGTTACTGACCATGTCTAGGGAGCTCGGTAATAAGGAATTCAACTCCAACGATACAAGAGGGCCCAAATCGGTGTCTGCTTTCATTGTGAAACTTTCCGAACTTGCGCCGCGCCTTATCATCAAGCAGATGACACTCTTGGCCAAGCAACTTGATAGCGAGGTACGAACCTAGTTGTTGTCACATTATACTACCTGTCAATATTCCAGATATCTAATTTGCCTATAGTCATATACACTTCGGTGTGCTGTGGTTGAAGTTTGCGGGAACCTCATTGCCGATCTCAGTCGGCAGGAGGAGCGCAGTGAGAACTACAAGACCCAAATCAACGCATTCTTCGAGGTTTTAGAAGAGCGCTTCCTTGACATTAATCCATACTGCCGATCTCGAGCTATCCAGGTCTATATGAAGATTTGTGACTTGGAGCAGAAGTTCCCTAAAAGACGCCAAGCAGCTGCAGAGTTGGCTACAAGGAGCCTCGAAGATAAGAGCAGTAATGTTCGTCGAAACGCAATCAAGCTGCTAGCGAAACTAGTAGCGACTCATCCTTTCAGTGTCATGCATGGCGGGCAGCTCGCACTCAAAGAGTGGAATGCAAGGCTCGAAACTGTTGATAATGAGTTGAACGCCCTTCGACCTCCAGAAACACCCGGTCTAGATGGCACGGAGCCTTCTCATGTTGACAGTGAGCTGCTGGATGATGCGACGCAATTGCCAGAAGACTCTCCATCGAAGGCACCGCGCATCTCAGAACAAGAGAGAGCTGCCGCAATCCAGAAGGCTGCCGAAGAAGCCGCGACGTCCGAATTGATGACACGGCTCCAGTTGACCAGGAAATATTATTCAGAGGCTATTCGGTTTATCGAAGTTCTTCACTCGGCTTCTGAAACCGTTTCTCAACTCTTAGGATCTAGGAATAAGAGTGAAGTCATCGAGGCAATGGATTTCTTTGTCATGATGGATGCCTACCGAGTTGAAACAGCTCGAACTGGAATAAGACGAATGCTTCGTCTTATCTGGACCAAGGGGAACAGTGACGAAGGCAAAGGAGTCCAAACGCACTTGATCGATTGCTACAAGGGTCTCTTCTTCGATGCCCCGGATGCATTCAGCCCTAACGATGCTGCCAACTATATTGCACGAAATATGATATCGCTGACTTTCGGTTCTACGTCTGCTGAGTTGACTTGCCTCGAGCAACTTCTTAGCACCATGATGAAAGCGGGCAACATTCCGGAGGCTGTAATCGCAAAGCTCTGGCAGGTCTACGGTGTCCAGCGAAAAGAGATATCACGGACACAACGTCGAGGCGCCATTATTGTCCTCGGCATGCTTGCTTTGGCGGACCCTGATGTGGTCGTGAAAGAGATTGAAGTTATGCTGCGGATTGGACTGGGAAATCTTGGTCGTTCCGATCTTATTCTTGCGAAGTATACATGCATCGCTTTAAAGAGAATAATGCCCACCCGTCAAGCCAAGTCAAAGGAGGCTGGAATCCCTAAACTCGCCAATGATCACCCTATCTTAAGCAAGCTTGCCAGTATGGTAGAGATTGCTTCTGACTCTAAGGAGTGGTACGGTGTGGCTGAGCAATCGATCAGTGCTATCTATACGCTGTCTAAGCACCCGGACGTTCTCTGCTCCGATGTCTTGAGACGAAAGACAAGGTTCGTCTTCCAGCCTCAGATGCACAGTGTCCCATCATCCAGCATGTCCGTCGATGGTGAACAGCAAAGACCTGGGACTGCTTCCAGCCAGGTCTCACGGAAAGGCACTTCCTCATCCGCCCTCTCTCAATTACTCTTTATCGTGGGCCACATTGCAATCAAGCAAATTGTTCATCTCGAGTTGTGCGAACTTGATTTCAAGCGACGTAAAGCTGAGCAGGAGAAGGAAAAGGCGTCTAGCGCTCCTTCTCAAAAGAGGAATGAGCCCACTGAAGATGATGAACTTGATCTTATCGGCGGAACGACTGAGGACGACTTCACCGAAGCTATGGCCCATATTCGCGAACGCGAGCTGCTTTACGGTGACAACTCGCTGCTTGCAAAGTTCGGGCCTTTGGTGACAGAGATCTGTGCAAATAACAACACCTACCCTGACCGTAACCTCCAGGGGGCCGCGACCCTTTGCATGGCCAAGCTCATGTGTGTGTCGGCAGAATATTGTGAGAAGAATCTCCCTCTTCTCATCACCATCATGGAACGATCAGAAGACCCCACCGTCCGCAGCAATGTGGTGATCGCCCTGGGTGATATGGCTGTCTGTTTTAACCATCTCATTGACGAGAATACCGATTTCCTTTATCGCCGGCTCAACGATGATGATGCTTCTGTCAAACGCACTTGTCTTATGACGCTTACTTTCCTTATTCTGGCAGGCCAGGTCAAGGTTAAAGGACAACTCGGCGAGATGGCTAAGTGCCTGGAGGATGAAGACAAGAAGATTGCTGATCTGGCACGAATGTTTTTCACTGAACTCGCCACCAAGGATAACGCCGTTTATAATCACTTCGTTGACATGTTCAGTCTTTTGAGTGCTGAGCGCAACGTCGACGAGGGTGCCCTTCGGAGAATCATCAAATTCCTGATTGGCTTCATAGAAAAGGTACGTCTATGCTTTTTCCTACTTGTAGTATGTAACTCTAATGCCGTTTGAATAGGAGAAACACGCCCGACAGCTCGCAGATAAGCTTGCCGCTCGACTCCCCCGTTGTGACACAGAGAGACAATGGAATGATGTGGCATATGCCCTGTCATTGTTGCCTCACAAGAACGAGGATATTACCAAGACCTTGAGTGCTGGGTTCAACAAGGTGGTCTCTGCAACTGCTTGAACGGTATAAATTCAACGTGATGCCAAATTCGACGGTTTAAATTCGTTTGTACAATGATTTATGCATGGATATGGACTATTTCTTCTTTTTCTGCTTCTGTTTTTACGACTTGGGATAGGATTCTCTGCGCCATGGGAGGCACAGGGCGTGGATGGTTATGTGGTCTTGGAAGATATCTTGTTGGGTCAATTTGGCGTTCTCGCAATGGTAATCAGTACTCGAGATCGAGTCTGTCTTTGTATGTTGACTTCTGCACGTCTCGAATATACATTTTCATCTGTTATTCCAAAGCTACCATACAAGTATACGTACACTGGTCGTAAGCATCTTTAAATATAATTCCAAATCCCACGTATGAACTACTGATTTTTATTTGCAGTTAGTTATATATAATTGGTTTATGTGCTGGGTTCTCTCCAGGAAAGAATCTGGAAGTAACGAGGAAGCATGCTAGGAACCGACCAAGGAAATATGACGCAAAAAAATAGCCCCCGGCCGACTCAACTACCTATGTAATATGTATAATTATGGACAGCGGACTAGTCTAATTAGGAGCCCTCGAAGCTCAACGCATCCCCTAAGCACCCTGCACTTTGCTTTCCTCCAAGGCGTAGTTCTCCGCTCGGAGTCCTTCCAGAGCTCGTAGCCCTTCCTCAGTCAGCTCTGGTTTTCCCAGGGGCGTGACTGCGCCCGTAAAGAAGCGGGGCTGCCATTCCTCGTTCTTCTCCTTGCGTTCAGCGGCCCTTTGGCGCTGTCGCTCCTCAATCTCCTGTTTTAATTTGGTGGCCTGGCTGTACCTTTTCTCGAGGATAGCAGCGGTGACGTTGGACCAGAATTTGAGCGACTCATTGGATAGCTGGCATTCTGTTGGGGGCAGGTGTTTGGTGACTGGGAAAAGTGGCGCAATGTCGATGAGAAGACGAGCATCCGTGGAGCCGGCAACGGTGTAGAAGATCTGGCCGTGCCACGAGCCGCTGATTCGGCAAAGGATATCGCTTTCAGGCACGTCCTTGATCCTATTCGTCGTGTCATTGTCTGGATTATACCTGAAGATCACGCCCTCGACCTTGTTTTGCGAACGGCCGATCCATCCTTCCTCCAAATATTGCAAGATAGCTTTGATTTTGGTTTTGGGGCAGTAAAAGTAGCATGAATCTGCTACCGTGATGGACAATGCCCCTCGCAAAAGACCGCCCAGGTGAGCCGAGGGATGTGTCAGTTGATACTCTTCATTGTCTCTGTTTCGAAGAGTAATAAAAATCCCGAGATTGTGCTGGCCAGGGCTGACGCGAATACTAGTTCCGGTAAATTTGGCACTTATCTGGTCAAATCCACGGGCTGATACGCCCTCCTCAGGGCAGTCGATATAAAATGCAGAGACGGGAGGATGGTGAGATGTTTGTTCGGTCAGGTAGCAAATCTTAATCGGGCCTTCGCCCGTCGCGGCAACGTTTACACTGCTATTTGTCGCTGTTAAGCCGGAGGAAATGTCAAATGCTGGAGGATCTTCCACCTTCCAAGTGCACTATATGTCAAACATATGAGCAATTTCCATACACAGAGAAAGAAGAATGGCATATTGAGATCGAGGGAAACCATACTCTGAAGAATTCACCGAGGGTAGAGTTATATGGCTTGCAAGGCTTGCCTTTGACGTATTTCTGCGGGGAGAATGTTCAGCAGCAGCACCCCAGAAAATTCTTGCGGTAAAAGTACCAGATCTTTCGTAAACCAAAATCTCAACACCTCCAACATACGCCCAACTGGATCGTCTGATTTGCCAATGCTGCGATTGTCGTGTCAGCAAGAGCATGAAGAGACGTAATTTTGTTCAAAGAGTTATTTTTCTGACCTAGCAAAGGTCTCCGGTCTATCGAGATAGTTCCAATATTCTATATGGGTATTGTTAGTTGTTTCGGGCGGTGGGGTTATAAGATATATAGGCGCGAGTTACCCAGATTGGGAGTGGGCTCTAAAAGCTGTGCCGGGAGCGAGAAACGAACGGACGCAATGTCAGTGACTCCGACGAACCTATTGAACCGGAAAAACAAGGTCGTATTAGTAACGTTGGTATAACGAGTGCAATTGATCCATGAGGGCAATCGGGCCCCATGCTGACTTTGCGGTTATACATACTTTCGAAGAATCGAAAGGAACGTCTTCAACTTGGACGAGTCATCTGGAGTTTTCTCCCCTGAATCCAAGGCGTCCAAGGAGAAGCTTGCACTATGGGTGGTTTGTGACATGTCGTGAGCGCTCCTGGGCACCAGGCAGAGGTGAACAGTCAGGACTAGGTAGATATCTTGTAGCCGCCGTAGACCAGCTGAGGGCGAGAGAAGATGGGATGGCAGGCGCTAACAAGATGTGGGGGAACAATCAAGCGAGAAACAAAGACCACATGCACTGAACCTCCCAGAACACAAGAACAAGGCTGTATTAGGTGCTGTTGTAGAGACGTGTCTCCAGCACGCCCGGACATCTTCCAACCCCAAGGCGGTGACGTTCTTCCTTTTTTGCCCCCAACAGGCTGGGGACGGAGGGACCCTGGTACGTCAGTCATCCCCTTATCATATCTGCACAGGTGAAAGTTCCATTGGTCGTGGGTCTCCCCGTAGATAATCCGCAGGTCTTATCCAATCGGCCCATCACGAGGGGCAATGAAGCAGTTGAGTTGGTTTGCAAAGACACGGCATCGGTAACTACCTGGTACCTACGGAGTGACCTAGACGCCGTATTGGGGGTATATGTTACCATGTATGCTCATAATTCAGCCCCTCGCTTCCTTGGAATCAAGGACGAAGTCATACAGGTACAAAGAGGATGTGCTTAGACCATTAGGTAGGTCTATGAAATATCAGTGGAAGCAGTTGGAAAAATGAAGAAAGAAAGACCTTCCTAAGGCTATTTGAGAGATGCGCCATGGACGACTGCAATAGACTGAAAATTACGCTGTATTGTATTCCCTGGCGATATAAGTCTAACTAACGGAGACCCACGAGGTCATCGCTGCTTTGAATATCTAGTAACCAACAGGAGGATCACATTATCCAAGAATGAATGATCCAATAATTTTAGTCATCCAGGAGGGCCAGATCTTCAATGGCCGTTTTCTGCGCCAAAAAGCGGACCCATGTCCTAATGGCCGGTCCATAGTCAAAGCGGCGCCCGGTAGCGTAGTCCTCATCGGCTTGATAGGATTGCTGCTCTTCTCTGATGGACGCGCGTAGCTCTTTTTGATGCTCACAGAGCTTCACTTGCTGCGCCGCAAGCTCCTCAGAGGAGTATACTTTATATTGTTTCTCCTCTTCTGTAGGAACTGATGTTATGTTAACCATCTCCTCAGTTAATCCATACAAGGCGTCTGGCCCTAAGAGAATATTTTCGAGCAGAGAAGTTGAAAAGGCCGTGGCTGTGTCATCCCTACTTGTGGCGGCAAGAAGCCGATTGACCAGTTGTAAGCACCTGATGTTGACCGCTAATTCTTGAATGTAAGCGTCCATTGGGTCCCGAACAAGACCTAAAACGGAGAATTCGATCTGATCCTCTTCATACTCCGCCATCCGAGTAAGAATGTCTGGTTTCGCCAAGTTTAACCAATCATCTGGGGAGCAATCGCCTGGAAAGCCAGTCAATGACACTCGTTTGATCTGTTCGGCATGGAGATAACGTACCACGAGCTTGAGGCTGGCGTTCTAAACCATCGAATTTCCAGAGTTTCCCCAAAGCGGGGACAAATGCAATGAAATGGAACCCAGCGTCGACATCGCTATCGTTGTAATTGTTTTTGGATGGCTTGGCCTTGCTAAAAGTAGTTTCATTTCTAAGATGAAGGTCTGCATTGAGCATATCCATTTTCCTAATATGATGCTTAGTAAGGCTATATAACAGGTAAAAAAGGGAATATGGGCATACCTGGCAAATGAATTGTGAATATTTTTCACAAATTCAAAATTGTTGATCGCATCTCCCCTTAGAGCAGGTGTGAAGGGCATTGTAAACTCCTTAAACAGCCGTAAATTTTCACCAAGATCAATTCCTTCAATATTATTGACAATATTAAGCAATGCAACGCTAGCACATGCATTGTTAGCTGTCTAAATAAGATATTAGTGACCATATATAGAATCTATAAGGTAAATCCTAATACTAACCTGGTTTGCAAACCAAATACCCTCCGGACAAATCGCTTCTTGCTTTTCTGGATCATCTTCTCGCCAGCGAAATAAGAATATTAACCCATAGACTGGTTTACTAGTCGCCGTTAAACTCTAGCATATTAAGAATAAGATTAAAAGAAAAGGGAGCATGACATCGTCGCCTCTATTTATTCGAAAAGGGAAAACTTGGAGGATACTCACTGTAAAACTGCTAGCATTTCATCATCCAAGGATACGACTTCCTGTACTTTGACCCCCTTCACTCCAAACTCACGAAGCATTACGTTGAAGAGGGCCTGTCAAACGTGTGAGATGACCGAGGCAACAACGGCATGTCATGTCAAGACACAAGTAGAGGTAGGTTCAACCTTACAGGCTCTGATTCGATCTCGCAAAAACCATTCCATTTATCTTTCTCCAGATGTGTAGCTGGACTAAGAGGATCGTTCGAATATAGCTTTCTCGTCTCCTCTGCCAAACTTGTGGGATTTGATTGAGTGTTTAAACGACGTCGTTTTGCGCGTTGTGCCATTTTTTCTTTCTTTCTTTCTTCTGTTGAAACCTGGACCGGCAGGCAGAAGCTTGTAAATTTAAATAAAAAAAAAATCTTAATCAAGAATTGTATGAGAAGCGGCCCGAAAAGAGAGTTCGTATACCGGCTGAAGGGCAATCTCTTAGCTGGGCTCCAATTGCAAATTCAAACAGAGATTTCGTAGAAATCGGTTGGTGTGTAGACGAGAATATTGTGTTTTCTAGATAGTTGATGCCACTTGGATGCAAATGGCCTCGTTTTGTTTTAAAGCCGGCTCTCTTTCCAGGCTGGCGCATTCGGGCTGGGCGCAACCTGAGAGTATTGAGAGGCAGCCGAGCTGATCGATGCACCGCGACATCAGATCATCAGTATGGTCCAAAACTGTGGGTCTTTTCGTTCCGATTACAGCACATCTTTCACGTAAATATGACAAAGCTCTAGGTTCTCGTAAAAACTGGAAGAAAGTCAAGGTAGCTTCCTAGAGGCACGTACCTTTTAGGTTGTCACTTGGGGCGAGGAAGGAGCTCCATGATTGGATAGAGCTCAGCTGGGCCCGACGCGTTAAAACATCTTGCGGGCTTCCGCGATTACAGAGAAATCCAGATTCAACGACCTGGCTGCTTCACTCCTTTGTGTTCTATCTCTTGGAAAAGCCTTTCTTAAAAGGAGATACAAGTCATTTCAACCTTGTCTTTCTCTTGCTTTCCCTGAGGCCTCGGGTGTTATTCTGCGTTGTTTTTTTCTTTTTTTTTCATCCCGCGACGCGGGGAGCATCATACAGGGTAAATATCTACCACACCCTCTACATCATAAATCAAGACGCTGTATCCATTCTGCCGTGCTGGCACCCATTATGGGATGATACTAATACGTTTTTGATATTTAGGCTAGCCTTTTGTCTCGTATTCTTTAGTGTGCTTCACACTCGCAGCATGCCATGAACGGCACTCCTCGGCTTCGGTCTGCATTCCCTCAGACGCCCCAGACCACACAACGATTAAAACAGCAATATCAGACCCCAACGAAGGCTAGGCCTCGTCCCTCCAATGAGCTGAAGTCGCCCACGAAAGCAGCGCAAAATGGAGATACACCGTTGGTTCCAACACAGCTGATTGACGCACCATCGCAGCGTCTCTACGTGGTAACTTTATATGTCGCAATCAATGCCTGGAAAGTATATGAATCGTGGACCGCATCCGACGACCTCGATTCAACATGGCTTTTTCTGAAGTGGATATTCATTGATGGCGGGTTTCTGTTTGGTGTACAAGCACTACGGATACCTTGGATTGAATGGAGCTTTGCAACAACACTGGCAGTTTTTTTGATCCACGTGGCTGGTAATGTCTTTCTCATGTTTCGCATACCGGTATGCATCTCTCTACAACATGATTAGTGGTGCCATGTTGTTACTTGTTTCTTTCTTCTTCTCTGTTACTGATTCATGGACAGATCCCAGTGGCCGCTTGGATATCCGGATTCTTTAAATTGTTTTGGGATCGCGAAATATCAATATCAGAGCGACATGTTAAACCCGGAGATATTATCCACAATGCGTCATTGATCCTCGGAAAACAAATCGTCCATATCCTCCCCGAGGGGTGAGTTACATCACATCTCCAAGTCGCTTCTGTTGCCATTTTTTTAAACATTGTCCCTAATCATGATAGGTCGGCTATTCTCAACCCAGACAGGATTCCACTCTGCTTGGATGCACACCATACCTCTGTCGAACTACCAATTCGTGTTAATCAAACTGATCCAATCCTGATAGAGCTTTTACATATCGACTTGGATACCCAGAAAAACGAGACAATCTCCATACCCTCAAGGCAACTGAAACAAATGAAGCGCCAGGCAGAAAAACAGAATGGCGGCTCCAGATCTATTCAACACCGTGATCTGCTTCTGCCCGTGAAAAAGACAGGCTTATACCGGCTTCAGCGGGTAGTGGATGAGTCGAAGCTTGACGTGCACATGCGAACCTCCGATTCAGTCGTGGTATCATGTCCCAAGGCGCTAATAAAGCAATCGCCCGTACACAAATGCAAGGGAGAGCTTTCTAATCTGATTCTGGAAGTTGAAGGAACCCCCCCTTTGAAGATCAAGTACAGTCGACAAGTCAATCAACGGGAGCGTGGAATTTCGTTCCAGAATATTCAACCGGATGGCCTCAACTCCCCTCTGCTTTCCCAGAAAACACCCGCAGCCTTGTTTAACCCTAAACAGTTGGATATCAGTTGGGCCCAAAGTCAGAAAATCGAAGTTCCATTGAATGAATCGTTAAATGTGGGTGGGGAATGGATTTATGCGATTGAGGAGGTGCATGATGGCTGTGGAAACGTTGCGAATTACTCAATTTATCTCGATGAAAGTGATCGTGTTTCGAAGGCCTTGGCCCCGTTGCAGCAATTCTCTGTGCATGAACGACCTCGCCTCTCTTTGACAGGTTGTAATGACCGCAATTTCCTTCAAACAGCCCGAGGGGAGTATATTGACCTACCGACAAATTTCCACCCTTCCGGACAAGGCTATAGCCAAGATGGCCCATTCACTTTCTCCTATTCGTTCAACGGCATTGAAAATGGAACCCCCAAGCCCCGGCAACTCTCAATCAAGGATTTGAACCAGAAGACTCAGATAAAAGAACAAGGGTGGTACACTCTCAGCTCTGTTTCAAGTCAATTTTGCTCAGGAGAGATCTTGGAACCCTCCTCCTGTTACCTGCACAACCCTCCAGAGCCAGAGTTGGCAGTCAAGTATGAAAAAATATTTGATAAATGTGCCAACAATTCAGTGGGCCTCCTTGTCGACTTGGATCTCACTGGGTCCCCGCCATTCCGTCTTCGTTACACCATCGAACACTCCAAAGGAGTCGAGACCAAGTCTCAAGTTATTGAGGGATTGCGCAATCAGCTTGATTTCACTCCTAAAGAGGCAGGTTTCTATCGTTACCGCTTCCTGGACATCTCGGATGCTGTTTATGGTCCTCGTTCTCTGAAGGACAGTACGCCTGTACTGGAGCAAGATGTGAAGCCGCCTGCATCTGCGCGATTCATTGGCTCCCGTGATGTGCGCAAAGCCTGCTTCGGAGAGCCAGTATCTGCGGATGTTTCCTTCATTGGCGAGTCACCTTGGACATTACAGTATGAACTTATCCACAATGGGAAGCGAACGAAACATACTCTCCAAAGTGAAGATGCCATGGCGACCATTACTACTGATCAATTGATGAGTGGTGGCGAATATACCTTGACCTTGACCAGCATTCAGGACAGATCGAACTGCAAACGACTACTCAAGGACAGTGTAAGGATCGACGCCCGGTCGAAGCCACCTCATGTTGCATTTGGCCATATCGACAAGAAGAGAGATGTGTCAGCTCTGCAAGGATCGAAGGTTGAAATTCCCCTTCGGCTAAGTGGGGAACGTCCTTGGACCGTGAAGTATAAGAACGCCGACACTGATTCCCATCTTGTTGAGAAGACTTTCTGGGAAGCGAACAGTAAACTGTCTGTCGATCAAGAAGGCCGATACGAGCTCGTGGAAGTATCTGATGCTTCCTGTGTTGGCACAATCGACCCATCTGCCAACATTTTCAAGGTCTCTTGGATACCTCTTCCGCGTATATTATCAGTTGACAATGTTGCTATCGGTGAAAACCGCAAGATTTCGAGACCAGATATCTGCCAAGGTGACGATGACAGCCTCGAGCTAAGGCTCTCTGGAAACCCCCCTTACACAGTGCGATATGAGCAGCAGCGCAAAGCTATCAGTGGCTCTTCCTCTGTTAGGATACAAAGCCTCAGGACAGCTCTCGGTGCAACGACCGTGGAAATGGACACTTCTGACCCTGGAATTTACACCTACCGATTTACCGAGATAAGCGATAATCTCTACGATAATGATCCACGGAACCAAAATCCTGTCGTTGTTACGCAGCGTGTAAATGCGCTCCCTTCGGCCAAATTCGATTCTCCAGGACATATCTATGGCTTCTGTAAGGAGGATTCTAGTGGGGAAGAATACATTCCCATCACCCTCACCGGTGTTCCTCCGTTCTCGCTGGAAGTTTCAATCAAACATCATTCAAATTCCAAGTCCGAGACGGTTTCGATACCCAACATCAATTCAAACCGCCACAACCTTGCCATTCCGAGGCGTCACTTGGATCTAGGTCAACATGTTGTCAACATACAAAAGGTACGAGACGGTCGTGGTTGCCAGTGGACCACTGAAGTCGACGTGTCTTCTGTCAGAATTTCTGTTTCAGATGTCCCTACCATTATACCCTTAGAGTCGAAAACGGATTACTGTGTCGGTGAGCGAGTGTCATTCTCGCTATCCGGCACTGCGCCGTTTGAGATTTTTTACACCTTTGACGATGCTCAGAGAAAGGCCAAGTCTCATGACACCAATTTCCGGCGCATCGCAGAAAGACCTGGTGAATTTACTATCAACGCAGTGAGTGATGGTGCGAGCGGAAAGTGCAAAGCTCACAAGAATATTTCCAAAATTATCCATCCCATGCCTAGCGTCAAAATCAGTAAGGGCCAAGTCTCAGTGGTCGATATCCACGAAGGTGGTGAAGCAGAAATTCACTTTGAATTCTGGGGAACACCGCCATTTGAGTTCACGTAAGTCTCATATGCCCTTATTTATGCACGCTTATTTACTAACTCCATTTAAGATACATCCGAAGTTCGAATGCCCGGAAAGGCAAGAAAGCTGAAGTCCTAGATATCAAGCATGATATTTCCTACGACCATGTGAAGACTATCAGCACCTCCGATGAGGGTACTTATGAGGTCGTTGCCATCAAGGACAAATACTGCTCATTTTCGTCACAGCAGCCTATAGGCAAATCGAACAAAGCAACGACAAGGTCCTAAATCGTGAAATGGAGTTTTTTTCTGAATTAATGTGGATTGCAAACAATCATGGCGCCTGATTTTGTTTTCTATTTTGAATATGTATTCCTTTTTTTTCCCTGTACGGAGTGCTGCTGTTATTATTAGATTCTAACTACAAACGGCCCAGAAGAATTAACATTTACTTGTCCTCCGAATCTTGAGACCGAACATCAATACTCTGAATAAGGTTCTCTCCTAGCCGTGCGATTTCGTTTAGAATAGCGCCTCGGTTGATTGAGACGGTATCCTTATCTTGATTCGTTGGATCAATGTACGATCTCGGGATTGTCGAGTAGGATACTTTCAAACTCCAGGGCTTGGGATTCGCCATCTGCGGGTTCCAGAGTCCTGCGATATGAGTGCTCTGCTCGTCCCCCTGGAAAAGCAGGACACTATTACCGAAACAACTCTGTAGTTCCTGTACAAATGAAACGATGATTGTCGAGGGGCGATAGCTTTCCTTTGAGAGACCAGTGAGATTCTTGAATTTCGTCGATGAAGACGATCGACTGCGCAAGACGGTCGGATTCAGTCTGATTACGAAGTCATATGGCGCCATGGAGGTATCGAAGAGCTCTTCCAAGTCAAGACCGGAGCGTTCTGCTTTCAAAAGTTTCATGGCCGCCTTCGCCAGCGAAGAGAGTCGAGCCGCAACAACCTTGGGAGGCATGCCATACTGTGTCCAGGTGACGCCGTCGATGTCGAGATCCGAAGCTGCGAACAGAGCGACGGTGTTCATGGCCGGATCCACGCAACGCCATGCAGAGAACTTATTCTTTATCACATCGACCGTGCTTTGGTCGAGTCCACCGCCCAGATTAACGATAGCTGGTTCCTCTTGCCAGTCCCATCTTGAAATGAAATGAAGAGTCCTGAAGAATCCAGCCATCACACTGGAAGGAGCCTCCCATGGGTACGGTTGGGTGAACGTGCGTACAGTCAATAATTCGATGACTTCTTCTGAGAAGTGGGCGGTCAGGAGGTGGCAATTAAACCAATGTTTCACCAAGCGCATCGTAGGAGACAGGAGCGGAAAGCGAGTGCACAGATTGCGAATCGCTTGCGTCAGGCGAGGAGCCTGAACAAAGATCCGCTTGTATGTGGAGAGAGCGTATGCCAGGTCTCCTTTTGAGCGAGAGCTATTGGACTTGCCCTTCAATTCGCGCTCCAACAAGGTCTGCTCACGGTCATGGTGGATACGAAGACGGAAGGCTAACCCTGATGTATGCAAGATATCGAGGAACGCGGTGTTCAGAATCGTAGTGCCATCATTTTCCACGCCAACCTGGGTTGAAACAGCAGCACCAGATGTTTCCATAAACTCTCCTATCTTGACAAGGAAAGCAACTTTTGTCATCTGAATTGCCGAAAGGTCGTCGGGCCATCGCCCAGAGCTTTCGAACTGAAGCACAATATCCATAGGATCCCGGCGAGAGCCAGATGAACTGGAGGTTTGCAGCGCTGCGTAACGAAGGAGAGGACTGGCTGGCAGCAGTTGTTTGATAGTCAAGGGAATATCTTCCATATTGTGGAACGATCTTTCCAACGAGTGGAAAGCGTTGCTAATCTGCTGGAAGGATGGGTCAGAATATGAAAAGGTGCCGTCACCCACAAGTCGAAGTTTTTCATCATATTCATCGCCAACGAAGACCATGTCTTCTTCCGCAAGATTGAAATGGCGATGGAGCACGTAAGTCACAATCTGATAGATGATAGAAGGTGCTGAAGGACCATCAGACCACACCAAACTTTCCAGGATACTTCCATCTTTAAACCGTCTCAATTCGGACTTGTCTCCCCAGAAGGAACGGAAAGAGGCCGTTTCCTCCTTCTCTTCAGCTAACGGGCCATGGTCGACAACGCGCATGGAGTTTTCGGAATGTACAATGAGCCCCACGTTTATTACGTTTGACTCTTTGTTCACCACGTAGCGTTTCCCAACTGACCAAGGTTGAATACACTGGCCAGAGATGGAGACCAATTTAACTCTGTCTCCCAGAGCTCTTAAGAGAACTTTGTGGACAGAAGTTTGGTGATGGACTGATTGCAACGTATCGCCATTGAGGGGCAACCTGATGGAGATAACTCGGTCGAACCGAAGCAGAGGTTCATCAACTTTGAGGATGAAGACTCTCTCAAAGTTATCGTCGCGGGACTCATTGAGCATCCTTAAAGTCACACCAGCCTCATGGCGGAGAACAGTGTAGGAGGAAAGAGTCATTTTATATAAAAGGTTCAACCCTCTCTTACCATCATAGAGAATTGGCTGGCCATGAGGCAGTACAGCTTCAGAATTGAAGAAAGTCAAGGGCTTTGTGAAGTCCTTTGCCGTGATAAACTGGACCATCGCTTTGAAAAGCTGATAGCTGCTGTACGATGGCAAAAGAACGGGTTTTCCATTTGGACCACCGCCTTCGAAAAGTAAAGCCATCATTATTGCCCATTCAAAACCTCCAAAGCCGCCCTGGTGGAATGAAGAACCAAACCCACGTTGACGGAGCCAAGTGCGGCCGAGAATACATGCATCGCGGAATGATGTACATTTTGTAGTGGCCAAGTATAAGACTTTATGGTACTGAGCCACGGAAGCATCGGATCGGAGAGCAGCGTTGTAGAACATAGTTGCCGTACTGGAGTCTTCTCCAGCATCTGCCACAAGTGCGCCTTGTCTAATATTGTTCTTCATAGGCAAGGTTCGCGAGATCGGGAACACCGTGTTGTCGATAGCTGTAATAATCCGAACTCGCATGCTACTGCCATGATCCTTAGTAGGTTCAAGAACGATGACCGGGCGAAGACTGTCTCCATCTTGCTGCTCAAACTTGACTTGGTGGTCCAGATCTTTCGCTTCTCGAATACCGGCTGCGATGCAAGCGACGTAGTATGCTCTTTTATAGAAGTATCGATAGTTGACATAGTCCTTTTCCTGAAAAAGCGAGTCCGGCATCGTGACGGCGAGATCAATCGTCGAGCAATCGGCATCTCTGACACCAGTGCGAAGAGCAAAACTTCCCACGACATTGACATTGGCTGGCTTGGAATATGCGAGGAGATACTTTGCATCTTTGCTAGGTCGAGGGTTGGGGAATGGTACAGCAACTCCATGTGCGCTCTGGAGCTCTTTTTCCGCTTCAACAATAGACTGTGGAGGCTTCTCGGCGAGATTTTCAATGATTTCTTTCAATTTATGGAGTATCTCATGAGCTCTGGATCCTTGCTTTTCATAATTTGGTCGCAAGTCCGTCAATAATTCGTCCATCTGGAGCTTGAAGAAGCTGGATTTGTAGAGCCCGCCAGTAAATGCAACTTCTGCAGAGACCCCGTTACTGCTGCTTCGAGATCCATTTTTGGATTTCATGGACTGCTGTTTCCCAGGTAGGCCATTGCCAGCCTCATTCGCAGATCGTGTCATTGACATGGGCCTTGTCGGGTTTTCAGAGGTATCATCGTTTTCGGGACTGATTTTCCTTCGCTTGGAAGAATGGGAGGACATTTTCTCTCATGTATGATTGGAAAAAAAAATAGAAATTTTATATAAAATAACCAATTGAAGCTCAAGTGTGGCTTTAGACAACTTCCTAAGTTGCTAATTATTATTATGGGCTACTTCTGTAAAATTAAAAACTTCATGCCGGCTTGATAACGATAAATCACGTGCCGATAAAAAAACACCCCTCGAAAAATTGCCCGCCGAAGTCGCTCAGAGTCCAAGCTTTTTGATTCAAGACCGGAGGGGAGTCATAACTAGGTGCTGTACTCCACAATGAGAGGTCGTTCATGACGCCTGCCCTTTTTGCTGCTGCTGGATACATTTCATATAAGATTCTGTATCCATAATCCGATTCCCCTCTACCCAGAATCTTGTCATTCTTTCTACAGGTCTATACCCATTGTATTTACGGAGTACTACTATCAGCCGTGATAATGTTACAGGCCGTGGGGGGTCCTATTCCTCCAAACACTGACCATGTATGTTGACTCATGCCCCATTTCCTGTGTGCCTGGGTTTTTTACGACTCTATCCTTCTCAAAAGCCATTGGCTTCCGTATTTGAACGCTTGTGGCCGGAAAATGAATATACAAATTCTTATTCTAGCCTGCCCTCGGCCCAATTTCTCTGGCGATGAAAACAGCTTCACGTCAAGACATGTGCAATTCAACTGACTTGATGACAGGCGGTTAGTATGTCTCTCCCGACTTGGCAAGCCACCGTGGGATATGAGGAGGGGGAAGATTGGGTCATAAGTAAAATTCAGTGTGGCTACCCAAGATTCTTTATACATCCAACTATCCAGAGACTTGTCCAGGAGATCACCTCTCGTTATGGCGATCCAAAAACCGAGTCTGCGACTTTATTTCCATCTCATCGCGCAGCTCTTATCTGCCAGGCATTTTTCGGAACCCGTGTTCCTCCTGAGGCACTGGCCAAAGTGCGAATTGTCAATCTGGTGCCGTCTGCGACAACTTCTGCCAACTCACCAGCAGTCACTTCAAATCTTTCCTGTGTGATTTACCCCAAGGAATATGCAGCTATCGCAAAACAGGTCTGGCAGCACTCTGGGAATGGGATATCCAGCCGCCGAGCGGAATTCTGCCTCGATGCATTGACAGACGGCTTCCTCGTGGAGGAAAAAAGCGCCGGTACATCGGATATGGCTACTCAAAGATTCAATAAAGGTCCTAGGCGCTATAGGGGTAAAGGATCCTTCAACGGACTCACAAAAGGGGAGATGACTCGAGTTGAGAGCTCAAGTTCAGATCCCATACATAATGGGCTGCAAGATGGGAAAGAATATGGCCAATTCATTGAAGAGCGTTTTGGGCGCAATCTAAGCACATCTCTTGCGGAGAAAGCTAAAACAGCTGTCCGCAGACGGATAGCAGGTTTTCTCACGGCAGATGTTGAGCTGAGTGAAGCCCTTGAGAAGACGTCTTCAGAGGGCAGAGTAGTAGGCTTGACAGAAGAGGACGTGTTCTTATTTCCCAGTGGTATGAGCTCTATTTTCAATGCCCATCGAATCTTAATGGCCTCGCGGGAACCTTTGAAGAGCATATGCTTTGGCTTCCCCTACATTGACTCCTTGAAAATCTTGCAAAAATGGGGTCCGGGTTGTTTGTTTTATGACCACGGGTCTAGTGAAGACCTGGATGATTTGGAGGACCGGCTAAGCCAAGGCGAGAGATTCCTTGCACTATTCACCGAAGTGCCTGGTAATCCATTGCTAAAATCGCCCGATCTCAAGCGCATACGCCATCTCGCGGACAAGTACGACTTTGCCGTGGTGGTAGATGAGACGGTCGGCAATTTCCTGAATATCAATGTCCTACCCTATGCGGATATTGTGGTCAGCAGTTTGACAAAGATATTCAGTGGTGATAGTAATGTCATGGGAGGCAGCGGTGTTCTCAACCCTCTTAGCCCTTGTTATGTACGGCTGAAGGATGCATTTGCTCGCGAGTACGAAGATATCCTGTGGGCAGAAGATGCTATCTTCCTGGAGAGAAACAGTCGTGATTTCGTTTCTAGAAGCGAAAAGGTAAACTCCACGACTGAGGCTGTGACTGAATTACTTCAAAATTCCAAATTAGGTGAGTACTCCCTCCCAGCAAACAAGGCTCTTCGAGAAATTCTGACTCCCCACCTACAGTGAAAGAGGTTCACTATCCGAAATTTAGCCCGACAAGACCATTTTATGACAGCTTCCGGAACCCTAATGGAGGCTACGGCGGCCTGTTCTCAGTGACGTTCCACTCGAAGGCTGCCGCGATGGCTTTCTTTGACTACCTGGAAGTCTTCAAAGGGCCCAGCTTAGGAACCAATTTCACCCTGAGGTAAGATGTCTCGGTCAAAAATCATACTTACAACTATGTCTTGACTAATCTTGCTTATAGCTGCCCTTACGCAATCCTGGCTCACTACACTGAACTAGACTGGGTAGGTCTCTTCAATCTCGTCTCGCCTAGATAATGACTAACATTGCTTCCAGGCACTATCATGTGGGATAGACCCTAATCTGGTGAGAATTAGCGTAGGTTTGGAAGACGTCTCGGATTTGAGCGCTACATTTCAGAAGGCTTTAGATGCTGTCGCAAAGATCGACTCTTCCACATGATTTACGTTTTGTCCATATTACCTACAAATTTCCAAGATAAAATAGCCAAATATACATTACATCGCCTTTTAAACAATCAAGATCATATTATTTTTAGCTCTTTTCTTTAGATTTTTTATTGTAGAGTAGAAAAAACAGTCACTTGCTTGACAAACACTATGTTCACTAACCAACTAACTAGGTATAGGTAGTTAACTACCCTAGCTAGGTAGGTACCTAGTAGGTAGTCAGGTACCTAGTACCTACCAGGTACCAAAGTCCCATATGAGTAAACTTAATCCAATTAATATGCCTTCATTACCTACAAGTTAGTAACTAATTTGTAGATTAATCAATAATATATATATAAGCTTGATATATATCAATCAGACCTAAATAAAATAATATTAAGGTTAGATCCAGGCGGGCTTTAACTATCTGTAATAACTAAGGCTATGTATTTTTAGTTGTAATAAAATTACAATACAAGTACGAGCTGCTATTACGGAAAAAGTTTTTGGTTCCAACTCCATACCTTGACAAACAACACCTGGAAAGCGCCTCTAAGGTAGGTCTACTCAATTCATTCTTGGATCTTGTCTCTAGCGCCATTTTTGCTTCCGCTTGTTGTATACAAACCACACTCATGTCACTAACTCTCTTAGTTCACTGTGGTGTGTATAATTAAAGGGGGTGACCAGCAATCCTGAACCCAGCAGCGACCAAGAGCGTCTCCTCTATATTGAACCAACTCGATATGGCGCATTTCATCGCCGTCTCAAAGAGGCCTTCCTCGATCCTGCCATTCCTTCTACCGTCTTGGTCTGAGTCAACAGTGTCTATACAGCAACGCAATCAATCCTCCTATCGGCGAACCACGCAGCGGCTGCGTCTTAAGCCAGATTCGTCTTTTGGGCTTTCCACGGATCAAATCTACGACCATATTATTCACAATCCGCCGTCAAGCGCTCCTTCCGTATATCATACGCCAACCAAGTTCCTTCCCCCTGGAGATGTTCGAAGCACGTTACGCGCTGGAACGAGTGTGCCGAATAGCGAAGCGCTACCTACGTTGTTCAAGTCGGACACTACCAAAAAGTATCATCTGAAACAATCGGATATTGAGGAGATCCGCCGTCTCCGACTCAGTGACCCGATGTCATGGAGCCGATGGAAGCTGGCTAAGCGGTTCGAGTGTTCTCCGCTCTTCATCGCCATGGTATGCGAAGCTAGTCCGGAGAAGAAGGAGATCCAGAAAAAAGTCCTCGAAGCAGTGCAGTCAAGATGGGGCATTAAGCGACGGATCGCTAGGGAAGACAGGCAGTTACGGAAGGAAACATGGGGAAGAGAATAATTTTTCCGCAGTGAGACAACTGCAAAGCCACAAACCCACCCTGGTTAATTGTGTCTTTGAAAACGCTTGGCTCCTCAACCGCGTGTCTGTGATTCTTAGGTGGTCGCAGTGTCTTTCCGAAGTCTACCCTCTAGCTGCAATGAGGGTTGCTGTTCATAGTAATTGGTGCATATCAGAATCATGTCTAGTTATATAGCAACTAGCTACCTAGGGAGAGCCTTATCAGCAATGTAAAGTATTTTTCTATTCACCTATTTTAAAGATTGTTATCCTTTATTAGTGTAGGGAGATTGCAATAATTTTTTGCATGCTAACTCTTCTAGGTAGATATATTAAATCTTTAGATTATATTCTGATTTCTAGTACCTACTAGGTAGATAGTGCAACTAGCTGAAAATACCATAATAATGACCTGTGATAGGAAGATACACAGCCTGCCAACCAGAATTACCCCATTTGATCTTTTCCCGCAACTAACCGACTTATCCAAATGCCCCTCCATCGGTTGCAAATTGGGCGACTCCTCATCTCGCGTCCAGTGTCTCTACCCCGTCCCCATCCTGTTTCTCTTTTCCAGCAGTCTCGTCGCAGTTTTTACGGATACATCAACGATTCCAAAATGGCACCACAGCTGGAGCCGTTCTTCAAACAGTGAGCTCGATCAATGTTGCTCAGCCGATAATTCATGAAGCTCATCATTTTAATCTAGGGTGGATCAGTTGTCTGATTCGTTCATTGACCGTACGTTTCAAGAAACTAGAATATAGCTTTTCCGGGTTTTGCAAGCTGCAGAGATGAGCTGACACGATGTAGGGTTGAGAAAAGCTGTCGCAATCCCCTCCGTTTCCGCACAAGATGAGAGCAGACCCGATGTTTTTCGGGTATGTTCCTGAAAGACCCTGTTTTTATGAGTAATTTGGGGTTTAACTGTTCATAGATGGGCCAGTTTCTGGCATCCGAGCTTGAAGCGCTAGGTGCCCACGTTGAACAGCGACCCTTGGGCAAGCAACCGGGAAAGGAACACCTTGAATTGCCCCCTGTCATTGTTGCACGTTACGGCAATGACCCTGCCAAGCGAACCATTCTCGTCTACGGGCACTACGATGTACAGCCAGCTTTGAAAGAGGATGGGTGGGCTACTGAGCCTTTTGAACTGACCATCGACGACAAGGGCAGGATGTATGGCCGTGGTAGTACTGATGACAAGGGCCCTGTCCTAGGCTGGCTGAATGTCATCGAGGCCCACAAGAAGGCTGGTCTTGAGCTGCCGGTCAACCTTCTTTGCTGCTTCGAAGGTATGGAGGAGTATGGCTCTGAAGGGCTGGATGACTTCATCCAGGCTGAGGCCCAGAAGTTCTTCAAGGACGCGGATGCTGTCTGCATCTCAGACAACTATTGGCTTGGCACCGAGAAGCCGTGCTTGACCTATGGCCTACGCGGCTGCAACTACTACTCTATCAGCGTCTCTGGGCCTGCCCAAGATCTTCACAGCGGTGTCTTCGGCGGATCAGCCCATGAGCCCATGACAGACCTAGTCACTGTCCTGTCGAAGCTGGTTGATTCCCAAGGCAATATTCTCATTCCTGGAATCATGGATCTCGTCGAACCATTGACCGAGGAGGAGAAATCACTGTACCCTGGAATCAGTTATTCCATGGACAACCTTCACGAGTCACTGGGAAGTGAAACAGGTATTCATGCTACGAAAGAGAGAACTCTGATGGCCCGGTGGAGGTACCCCTCTCTCTCGATTCATGGTATTGAGGGTGCTTTTTCTGCACCAGGTGCCAAAACTGTCATCCCTGCCAAGGTTATTGGCAAGTTTTCTATTCGGACAGTTCCGAATATGGAGAGCCCCGACGTTAACAAGCTTGTCTTCGACTATATAAAGGCTGAGTTCGCCAAGCTAAACAGCAAGAACACTCTGGATGTTTGGCTCCAGCATGACGGCAAATGGTGGGTTGCCAGCCCGAAACACTGGAACTTTAGTGCGGCGAGCAAAGCCGTTACGCAGGTTTTCGGCGTTGAGCCCGATATGACTCGTGAAGGTGGAAGGTATGCCGTCAATTTGGTTTTCCCTTTGAATTTCTCTAGTGGCTAACTTGAGGCCAGTATCCCTGTCACCTTGACCTTCGAGCAAGCCACTGGAAAGAATGTTTTGCTGTTACCCATGGGCAGTTCGACTGATGCGGCTCATTCTATCAATGAGAAACTTGACAAGAGAAACTATATCGAAGGAACCAAGCTTCTTGGCGCTTATCTCCACTATGTTGCGGAGGAGCCTATGAACGCTTAGACTACCCTAAGGCTTTTGACTCACTCTGAAAGACTCTTTGTTTATCTTGATGTGTGGAGGTCAATATCTGTTGCTTTTTCTTTGGAACTAGGTCTCAGTTTTCAGTATTTAAACTGACAAGGATAGGATTGATTATGCACATTAAAGAAAATAAACGTATTCCTGAACCTTTGCCATGATTATCTATATGTATTAAACAGAACTATCCTTACACTAAGGCTAATGAAAAACAAGTCTACCTTATACTCTCAAATTAAAATCTTCCTGATCAGATAATAATATATATGTGTATGTTATAAATCAGACTATTTTAATATTATTCAGTGCTTAAAATTAGCCTATAAGTTGAGTTGACAGAAATATCATGAAATTTCCAGGTGCTTTATGTAGAAGTATTCCTATTCATGATTGTTACTTATTATGGATTAAGTGGGGCTTTTCCTAATTTAGATTAAGCATCCTAAGCCTCCGCTTAGACGCGTCGCGCTTTCACGTGTGGACGATGGACCTGAGGACAGCCCTACTCTTAAAACAGCGCTGGTTTCTCTTCCAGAGTAAAGACTTCGGTCTTTACGCAAAGGCCGAGAAATGAGTCCTTCTAAACGCCCGCAAGAGCTCTTGGAGCCGAGTGGATCAGAATCGGAAGATGATTCTTTGCCAAATAACGAAGCCCTCCATCCTGTATGGCCCTCTTTCAAGAGCTTTAAATCCAGAACCCAACTTCATACTCAGACTAACCACCCCGAGTAGAATAAAAGAATACGCAGTTCCGAAGGGAGTTCAGAGCCTAGCGAAGATGATATAGGCGAAGAAGACGACCTGTCGATCACCGATGCTGATGATGATGATGATGATACTGAACTGGATATGCTTGCGACGCAATTGATACAAGAGAAATACTCCTTCAGAAGCGACGAGCCGAATTTGCCTGCTGAGCATGGAATACTTGAGCGCGTGGAATGTTATAATTTCATGTGCCATGATCATTTCTATGTCGAGCTAGGCCCACTGATCAATTTCATTGTTGGAAAGAACGGCAGCGGGAAGAGTGCAATCCTCACTGGAATCACCCTCTGCTTAGGAGGGAAAGCGTCCTCCACAAATCGTGGACAGAGTCTCAAAAGCTTCATCAAGGAAGGAAAGGAGTAAGCTGCCCAACATGCTCTCACTATGATTTATGCTAGGACTGACCGCTCATGACAGGAATGCCACCATCATCGTGCGCATTAAAAACCAAGGAGATGGTGCATATATGCCTGATGATTATGGGAACTCAATTATTGTTGAGCGTCACTTTGCAAGAAATGGTACCAGTGGTTTCAAGATCAAGGGCGAGAATGGACGTATCATATCAACCAAGAAGGCCGAACTCGACGCGATTACAGATTATTTTTCTCTCCAGATCGATAACCCAATGAATGTCCTTTCCCAAGATATGGCACGTCAATTCCTCAGCACTTCGAGCCCCGCTGAAAAGTACAAATTCTTCGTGAAAGGCGTCCAACTAGAGCAGCTGGATCAAGACTATCGATTGATCGAAGATTTCATAGATCAAATTTTGCACAAACTTGCGGGCAGGGACGAAGATATTCAGTATCTAAAAAGTTGCAAGGATGCGGCAAAAGAAAAGCTTCAAATGTCCGACCAGCATGAATCCCTCAGAGAGCGCATAAGAAATCTTCGAAGTCAAATGGCCTGGGCCCAGGTTGAGGAGCAAGAGCGGTCGATGGAAGAGCTAGATCATGAAATTGCTCAAGCAGATACAGACATAAACGCAGCAGAGGCGGCAACGGGTGAATTTGATGTGGCATTCCAGGAGGCTGAAGCTGAGCTTGAAAGTGCTAAGAGGATTGTTCAAGAAACCCACTCAAACCTAGAACAAGCCAAAAACGACAGGGATGAATTCAAGGGTAGACTTGACGAGGAGATGAGACAAAGGCACGACTTGCAAGCCGAACAACGTCAAATAAACGAATTGCTGAAAGCGGCCAAATCGAGGGTTGAAGAGACTAAAGCGAAGATTAATGAAGAAGTTCAGCGAATGGCTGATGCCGATGGCGGCGGCTTTGCCCGGAAACAAGAAGAATTCCGCCAAAAGGAACTCGAAGTTGAGGAAGCCAAAAGACAAATCGAAGGACATCAAGGAGAAAGGCAACTCCTTGAGAATCACCGTCGAGAAGCCGAGGCCGCCCTCAAAGAAGCCCTAACGCCCGTCTCGAATAAGAAGTCTGATATTGAACAGGCAGAGGCTCACCTGCGAAATCTAGTCAAAGACGGCGGATCCCAAAGGTCGGGATTTCCGGACCGTATATCCGACCTTCTGAGAGCAATTCAACAAGAATCGTCCTTCAGCAATCGCCCTGTTGGTCCCGTTGGCAACCACATTACTTTGCTTAAGCCGAAGTGGTCATCGGTTCTCGAGAGCTCCTTTGGAACTTCACTCAGCAGCTTCATTGTCACTACAAAGCGAGATATGAACATTCTTTCGAATATCATGCAGAGGGTCGACTGTGTATGTCCTATCTTTATTGGTAGTGGTGGGCACATTGACACGTCTGGTCACGAGCCTGATGACAGATATGACACTGCTTTGAAAGTTCTCGACATTGATAACGATCTAGTCCGGCGCCAGTTGATTATCAACCACGGGATCGAGCAAGTACTATTGATCGAGAATGTATCGGAAGCTTCTTCGTTTCTATTTGATGGACCGCGTCCGCAGAATGTGAAACGGTGTTATTGTATTGACCCGAACGACAGGAGACGTGGTGTTCACCTCTCATTTAGTCGCACAGGGGAGCCAAGCCAAGCACCTGTTCCAGTCTACAGTGGAAACACACGGATCAAGTCCGACTTAGCCTCGAGGATAACCATTCAACGCGAAGTTGTAGCCGATCTGAAGCGTGAATTAGGTGATGCCGAACGCGAAGTTCACTCTTGTCGTTCCCGTCTTGAAAGCTGCAAACAAGCACTAGTAAGACACGAAAGGAAAGCCAGAGACCTGCAAATCTCTCTCCAGAGATTAGAAGATCAAGTGGAAGAGCTCAGGGATATTATTGACAGAGAATCAATACAAGACGGACATATTGATGTTCTGCAAGCAACTCTACGAGAAGCCGAAGAAGAGAGAAGTCTGAATCAAGGGTCCCTTGATGACTGCCTCAATGCGATGAATGCTATGATGGTCAAATTGAAAGAATCGAACCGTGAAATGCGAAGGAGGGATGCTGAGGTCCAGACTCTAGAAGAGCAACACAGGGTTGCGCAAAGCGAAGAGCACGGGGTCTCTAGAAAGCGTGCAAAAATTCTGAGTGATAAAAACTCCGCCATAGAGAATGTTGATATCCAAAAGCAGGCCAGAGAAAAGTTAGGTCAGAAAAAAGAACGACTCGCGGCTCGAATCGAGGATTATTGCGAGAAAGCCGGAATGGTGTCAGCCCGCGTGGTTGTTGATGAAGGGGAAACTCCTGCTAGCTTAGACAAAAAGCTAGACAAACTCCATAAAGACCTGCAGCATCTTGATGAAGAGTAAGCATCAACCTGGCCTTTTCAAGATTCAACTAACAAGTGTCAGAATTGGAGCATCTCGAGAGGAAATTGCGGCAGAAGCGATGAAAGCCAACGCAGATTTCAAACAAGCACAAAAACAGGTCAAAGAACTTAAATCATTATCTGAAGTATGTGTTTGATAGGATGTGAGAAAATTTTCTTCGCTAATAGGAGATTAAGGTCCTGGCAGCTACTTTAAGCCATCGAAAAGGCCGCTGGAAGTTGTTCAGATCGCATATATCCTCACGTGCCAAGGCGCAGTTTACTTATCTCCTGAGCGAAAGAAGCTTTCGTGGTCGACTTCTAACTGATCATAAGGGCAAGCTTCTCGATCTACAGGTATAATCCATACCCTCATACCCTGCTCACTCTAATTTGGTCCCATGTGCTTTGCATGCTGGCTAGGAACATGGACAACTCGGAGTGATCGATTGTTCTAATGACAAGTATAGGTCGAGCCTGATATTACAAAAGATAGTAGTGCTGGCCGTGGTGCGAGAACTCTTTCAGGAGGCGAGAAATCGTTCTCACAGGTCTGTCTGTTATTGGCCCTGTGGGAAGCCATGGGGTCACCGATTCGCTGCTTGGATGAATTGTATGTCTCTGCTGAGCAATTATGGTCTACTTTGACTAATATGTTTCGACAGCGATGTGTATATGGACTCTATAAACAGACAGATGGCTATTGATATGCTTGTATGTCTCATACCCTTAAATTATGGAATGCATTGGCTGACCACCTGATTATTAGATGCTCGCCGCAAGACGATCAATTGGGCGACAATTCATTCTGATCACACCTGGGTCAAGGACTGAAATCAAAATGGCCCCTGATGTCCGGGTCAAAGAGTATGCTTTCTAAATTCCCCCAGTCGTCATGGAGCCTGGATATTGACATTCTTCTTTCTCTTCCAGACTAGCCGAGCCTGAACGTGGTCAAACAACATTATCGTTTCGAAATTAAATATCATCAATTTACTGCATATTTCATCCCATAATCCTATTATGTCTCTCAAAATTCGATCTGTCTGACACGAAGTGATGACCATAGAAGAGTCATTACCCGTATATTGAGGGCTTAAATCAACGAGGGAGAAGCTGTCGAGCACCATGTATAGATGATAGATTCTAGCCACTTCTCATTCTTCTCAAATTTGCATAGCAGATACCAGCACGAATATCTACAATATTAAATGACTTACTTGGTTGAAGATATTCAAGACTATGGAAGTCTGGCCTTTAGTGCTTAAAATAACTAGCACACTTGTTTCTGATTATTTTCTTTAGATCCTTACTCAGTAATACTATTTCTTATCGCTCTGTGCAGTAGTTATGGGTAGCTTTCACTCACTTGTATCATACTAGGTACTCCGTACCTCAGAGAGCAGGTAGTAGCGCGGGCTCGGGCTCGGGTGGGTCCTATCTAGGCGATGGCAGCAAATCCAAAGTGGCCAGGGCTCTTCTCTCACTCCCACTGCCGCATATCAATGCTCGATCACACCTACCTTATCCAACCTTCTCTTGGATTACCTTTGCACCTACACTACCCTCAAATTTTCTTTCTTCCAGTGAAATTCCCCTGCACGAGCAAACCCCTGGACTCTTGAACAGAGATCACCCTATTTTTCGATACCAGCCGGGATCTTCATCATCGACGACATCCTTTTCCAACGCTTCCCACCATTGTGCCCATTGCTGGATCTTGAACACCTCACTCAGCTCCAGCTTGTAGCCTCAGTGATAAACTATCTGTTTCACTATCACTGGCTCAGAACACTTGCGACTACTTTGAGAGATATCTACGACCCCTCCTTCCTGACTGGAACGTTCATCAAAACACCTATCACAGTTTTCAGTTTTCTTCAGGCTCCCGAACCATCCATTACACTCACACATAGTAGCCCTAGCTATCCTGAGAAATTCCCAACTCTCCTCTTTCTGAAATAACGCCTTGCCATCGAAGCCTGTTTGCCATTTCTCTTTGCGATTCCACCTTCCTGTCGCATTAGAAATAAGCATATTCTGGACACAAAGATTCACCTAAACCACTGTCCTCTTTCTATTTCCTCTTGATTCTTCCCATACTCCCACAATGGCCGACCCTCTTGCCGCGCAATTAGCTAATACAAAACTCGGGTTGGTGGCCTCACACAATGCAGTCGCTTTGAAACTGGCAAATTGACATTCATCAATATGTATAGGGATGCAAACACAGATTCAAAGTGGAAGGAACAACTTAACACCCCTGCCAAAGATTCTAGACCGCAAACAGAGGTTTGTCTAATATTGAACAAAATTTCCTCCTATTTACAGCCTGACTCGGGTCATCACAGGATGTGACGGCGACTAAAGGTCTCGAGTTCGAAGACTTCTATATCAAACGTGAGTTGATGATGGGTATATTCGAGGCTGGGTTCGAGAAGCCATCACCTATCCAAGAAGAGACCATCCCAGTGGCCCTTACGGGAAGAGATATCCTGGCCCGAGCGAAGAACGGTACCGGGAAAACAGCTGCCTTTATCATCCCCACGCTCGAGCGCATCAATCCAAAAAGCACAAAGACTCAAGCTTTAATCCTGGTTCCCACGAGAGAACTAGCGCTCCAGACATCACAGGTCTGCAAGACTCTTGGGAAGCATCTGGGCATCAATGTCATGGTCACCACTGGAGGTACTGGTTTGATGGATGACATCATTCGATTGAACGACGCTGTTCATATTCTCGTTGGAACACCGGGAAGAGTTCTCGATCTAGCTAGTAAAGGCGTTGCTGACCTTTCCGAATGTCCCACTTTCATTATGGACGAAGCCGACAAGCTTTTGTCGCCAGAATTCACTCCCGTCATAGAACAGTTGCTGTCATTTCACCCCAAGGATCGCCAGGTCATGCTCTTTAGCGCGACATTTCCAATGATCGTCAAGTCTTTCAAGGTTCGTTTGGGCTATGTAATCACTGGTTTGAGGAACATGATCCGGACTGACTGTTTGCGTAGGATAAGCACATGCGCAACCCTTACGAGATCAATCTTATGGATGAACTTACTCTGAGAGGAATCACCCAGTACTACGCTTTCGTTGAGGAGAAACAAAAGGTCCATTGCCTCAATACTCTCTTCTCCAAACTTCAAATCAACCAGTCCATCATCTTCTGCAATTCCACAAACAGAGTCGAGCTTCTTGCCAAAAAGATCACGGAATTGGGCTATTCGTGCTTTTACTCGCATGCCCGGATGCTTCAACAACATCGAAACCGAGTCTTCCACGATTTCCGAAATGGCGTATGCCGGAACCTTGTCTGTTCAGATCTCCTCACCCGAGGAATTGATATCCAAGCCGTAAACGTTGTCATCAATTTCGATTTCCCGAAAAATGCCGAGACCTACCTCCATCGAATTGGCCGCTCTGGTCGTTTCGGCCATCTGGGTCTCGCAATCAATTTGATCAACTGGGACGACCGATTTAACCTTTATAAGATCGAACAAGAGCTTGGCACTGAAATCCAGCCGATTCCCCAGCATATCGATAAGAAGCTCTATGTGTATGATTCCCCAGAGACTATTCCTCGACCCATCTCCAGTACTCCGAACCAACGTGAATTAACCGACGTGCCCTCAACTGCTGGCAATTTGGATTATCATCAGCCACGTCACCAGAGCCATCAAACGAATAACGGACATGGAAACTATCAATATAGCCGTGGACGCAACTCATACCGTGGAGGTCGAGGTCAAGGACAACGTCGTGGTGGTGGGCAAAATGATTATAAGAGATTCGCCCCATCGACAGCTCAAGGAAATGCCAATTCGCCAGCGGCCCCGGCGTCCTAAGTGAAGGATGAATGCCGTCTTTGATTCAGCTGCCGAATACTGTCAACAACTTCCCGCATACTTCAACCCTCTCTGCCTTAATGCCCTTATTATGTTTTACATTTACTTGACGCAGCAGAGCTGTCTCCAGCAGTTGCAGTAAGCATCGCCTGTTCGACAAATTCCTGCAAGGACAGCATTTGAACCCTTCGCTAACGGCAGCTTGATGGTACTGCAGCAGATGTACAATAGTCCTATTAACTTTTCATCGCCAGTCTGGGTTCTAGAGACTATCAGAACATATTTGGGCCTTATCAATCTTCCTCTCCCAGGTTCTTTTTGTGCTTAATCTACGTTTATGACTGGACTTACATCCATGTTTTCCCCTTGACAAAGCTTGCACATACAATGACATGTTATGATTCCTTCCTTACTTTTTGAGGAATGATATTATCATGTAGCAGTTTTGTGTCTCCCTCTTACTTCACCTCTTAATTCACACACACGCTCTCGCTCTCAATCCCTCTATCATTGGCCGTTTGTTCATCTGATCTGCTCATTTTGAGTAGCTTTGTTACTTCATGCAGATATGGAGCTACATGCACATAAGATTTGATGTACCTTTTAAGCGTGTGTTTTCAGATACCTGGATGATCATTGCTTCGAAGTCTGCTCAGATCCATCGCTTTTCGGCCCCTGTTTGCTTTCCCTCGGAAAAAACCAATTATTTTGCCTCTTATCCTCTTCGTCAGTGATTCCCATTCTGTCTTCTTTCGTGTTGCAGCAGATTCTCCGTCATCAGTTATGGCGAATGCTGCTTGCCAGCAGGAGCTATCCTTCTATTTTCCTTTCGGTTTTCTCTTTTCACAATACTGACACGCTTCCTCGGTATCGATGGCCGCTTCGGAGATTAAGCCTACGGATCATTTCTAAACGTCATGGATAATGGTCAGTTTCGTGGAGTATTGATTCATCACAAGAAATGCTTGGGAAACATGGACGACATCAAAAAGAAACCCGGCGTGACAAAACTCGAAAAAAACAAGACAAAAAAAAAAAAGTGAGGAGCACTAGGTGTTATTGTGACACACATGGTTCTTGAATGTGATGTAACTATATACACAGGACATCTAGTGGAATTAAATTAGTCCCTCCAAACCTTGCCATCAGTAAACAATAAGTAGCCCGCCCTATCTGGCTGGGATACTATATATAATAGTGCGCGAGATCTCCATAAGGTTTATGAGGAGCAGTCGTGGGGATGGACATATCTAGGTTTAAAGCCTGCCCATAATTCTTGGGGGAAATGACCAAGTTCTTTAGAAGCCTATATGAGTATCACTATTGTTTTAGAGATCTCATTTGCCATATTGTAAAGATATTTTTTCAAAAAATGATTCTAGTAGTTTTGCTCTATAGGGTAAGCTAGGTAGGTATATTCCAATGCACTAGAATCTTAATAATATGGCGGCGATGTCCAGGAATTAGTGACTCCGCATCAGACATAAGGTTAAATGCTCCGCGTTTTGAACAGGGGCTTTGAACATTTTCCCACAATCACCAGCTCAATGGCCTCAGAAAACCAAGAAAAGAAGTCCAAGGTCAGTAGAAAGCGTTGGCATGATAGAACAAATCTAACATATTACATATAGCCCAGCAGCCTGCGCTCTATTATTGCGGGCTCTTCGGCGGGCGCGGTTGAGATCGGTAATTATTATTCCTACAGACTCGAGCAAGGAGATTCAGAAATAGATATCTGACAATTCGCCCAACAGCAATTACATATCCCGCTGAGTGTAAGAATGCTCATCATATTTTACGTCTCGAAAGACTAAAACGGATTACTAGTCGCGAAGACGCGGACACAGCTCAACCGTCAACTAGCGAGCTCGGAGAAGCTCCCTTGGCCGCCCTTTGGAAAACAATGGTATGCCGGATGTACAACATTGATCATTGGAAACTCTTTGAAGGCTGGAATTCGTACGCTGAAACCCTCTCCACGTGTGCAACGATGTACCTCGTGGGACATCCAAGCCTTTGCGTCCATATTGACCACTTTGGATAGGCTTCGTTGCGTTTGACAGCTTCAAGTCACTCCTCCAGGACGAGAATGGCAAGATATCAGGTCCGCGAACAGTCATTGCTGGGTTTGGTGCTGGCTTCACCGAGTCCTTGCTGGCTGTCACCCCCTTCGAGAGCATCAAAACGCAGCTGTAAGTTCCCCGTTTCCTTCCTTGATTTAGCCAATAATCGACCTGTGGTAATAACTCGGCTCAAAGGATCGATGATCGAAAATCCCCGAACCCTCGAATGCGTGGCTTTTTGCACGGCAGCAAGATTATTTTCCAGGAGCGGGGTGTTCGTGGCTTCTTCCAAGGCTTTGTGCCTACGACAGCAAGGCAGGCTGCCAATTCTGCTGTCAGATTTTCGAGTTACACGACGCTGAAGCAGTTTGCTGAGGGATATGTCGCTCCCGGAGAAAAACTAGGAACAGTGAGCACATTTGCCATTGGTGGTTTAGCGGGGCTCATCACGGTGTAAGTTGATTCAATACGGTTGATATACTCCCTAAACCCAATCTAATAAGATTCATAGCTACGTTACCCAGCCTATCGATACTGTAAAGACAAGGTAGGCTTTCAGTTATCTCGGAGCAGCTAACGATCTCGGCTAATTACCGCTGCGAAATAGAATGCAATCGCTCGAGGCCAGCAAGAACTATAAGAACAGCTTGGTTTGTGCAGCAAGAATCTTCAAGGATGAGGGTATCTTCACATTCTGGTCTGGGGCTGTCCCACGCTTAGCCCGACTGATCATGAGCGGAGGGATTGTGTTTACAATGTAAGCTTGCGTCGCTAACTGTGGTTGCTTATGAGACAGTGAGCTAACCTCCATCTATAGGTATGAGAAGACAATGGATGCACTCGACGCTATTGATCCACAGAGGGTGTACATCTGAAATGCGTGATTTCAAAGATCATTACAGATAACCCTACAGAGAATATGTCTAAGTTAGAATAAATCTTGGTTTGTTATTGTACATGTATACTCCAGAAAGAAATGGTTGTGGCGAGTCAAGAGTTCTTCTTGTCCACATTTGTCTGGCTCTTCAATAACTCTTTAGCTGATTCTTCAGCAATCATGTCCTCGATCTCGCGGTCTGTAAGCCAGCTCCGAACACTATCCATGATTGCCTCCAGCCCTGTGCCTCCATCAAGGACACTCCCTAGGTTATGCACTGTGATGCCACTGCGATGGTCTGTACAGCGATTCTGGCCAAAGTTATAAGTACGGACCTTGTCACCACGACCCATCCTCGCAACTCCTCCCATGGCTCCTCTCCGAAGATTCACTAGTTCCTGCTCTCGGGCTTCTCGCCTCATACTGGCTACTTTTGCTCGCAAGATCTGCCACGCTTTCTTACGATTCGAGTGTTGGGATCGGGAATCCTGCATGGATACAACGAGGCCAGTGGGTATATGGGTCAGTCTAATAGCTGACTCCGTTTTGTTGACATGCTGGCCACCAGCACCACTCGCTCGCATCTTCTCTGTGCGAACATCCTGGGGGTTCACATAGTAATCACTGTTGGGATCTTCAAAATTGAGCGCGCTGTCCATGTCGCTTCCTGACTCTGGAAAACTCGGGAGAATCATTACGCTCACTGCGCTGGTATGTGTGCGGCCTTTTGTCTCAGTCGCTGGCACTCTTTGTACCCTGTGCACGCCAGATTCTGTTCTTAGAATATCGTATGCTCCGTCTGTCTCTATTTCTAGGACTGCTTCGGTTAGGCGATCCTCAGTTTGTCCTTCCTCCGTGTCCAGCTTTAGCAATGTGGAGCGAAACCCAAGCCGGGATGACAGCGCAGTATACATCTTCAAAAGCTCGGAGGCAAAGAGCCCTGCCTCCTCACCACCAGCTCCGGGTCTTATTTCAAGTAGGCATGGTAATTCGGCGAATGGGTGACGCGGTATAAGAGCCTGCTTTAGTTTGTCGGAGACCACCTGCAGCTGCGCGTTACTGCTTTCAAGATCTTCAATAGCAAGTGACCGTAGTTCCGCATCGGTATCTGGGTCATCAAGTAAGACATTGAGTTCCGAGATCGACTAAAGCGAGAAGGTTTGAGTAACCAAAGCTATCAGCATAAGCCTATGCAGATATAATTATGCCATGCACTTATACCAACCTCCTTTGCCTTCTCCCATTCAGTCCAAGCCTGTACCACAGGCGCTAAGTCCCCGACTCGTTTGGCAATCTTCGCGTCGAATGATTCTGTTAGATGATGTGACAGGCTGGAATGCTCAGCAGTCAAGGCCTGAGCTCGAGTAAGTAATGCTGAGGAGATGCCGTTATTTGTAGCTTGGTCGAAATCAGTTATCGCGATCTTTGGCAGGTGGAACTAGGTTCATCATACTTGTTGACTGAGCCCGTCTTTGAATGAGAATGGGCAAGCCTCGAAAATGCCGACCAGACCGTATACAACGAAAGCAGACCCATAGTGTCATGTTTAGATATATGGACAAATTATTGATGGTGTCATGTAATGCCAATGGGTTAAAACATTGGTTCAAAATTTATGTAAACGCCTACCTAATGCCTCAGATATCCAGTATTTAATTTCATATCGCTCTGCCCACGTATTTTTAGCTCCGACTAGATAAGTGAAAATGGCAGAGCATGTACGGTATGGTAAATAGTTAACCAATTAGATTAGATAGGATCCTTTACCAGGTACCGTAGGTAGTTAGTACTAGTAAATGGTCTCAGGTAGTTACCATCCGCCTAAGTACCAGAATTATAGCACTAATTAATGCTTTTCTAGATAGATATAAACTTGTTGTACTACCTAAGATATTTATAAACCTCTAAAGTGTTAATACTACCTCTACCTGGCATCTGAGTGATATAAAACAAAATAACTAAGTACAAGGTATCTCAGAGATTACTAGATACCTATAGATAGCTCCTTCGGTCATAACCACTACTTAAATGTTTATTAAGATATAGTTATAGGTACCTAAGGTAGGTATACCTTGATATAAAGTACTAGTAAGATTTGTAGTTGACTCTACTCAATGTTAATTGCAATGAGTATTTTAAATTACATTGAGATTTCCTGGAGGTTACTAAGGTACCTAACTAACATTCGTACGGACCGCGGTATTTATCAGTATGACGATAAGAGATATCAAGTAAAGGCCAATCTGGCAAATTACTATTGCCGTTTCGAGGCCAAGTGACTTTACCTACGAAATCTGTATCATCACTTGCAGGCTTACCTGAGTATTCTCCCGGACTTGATTTCAAAATCTACCTGTCATATTAACACAACACTCCCTTATGGTTTTTTAGAGTGCTCCTCCCAGATAGTGCCTTGAAGGCCATCAGTCTTGACGATGTATATCCCATTGGGGTCTTTTACTGTTCTACTTGCTTGTTTTGGAGGTAGCTATGGATTATCATCCTCACAGATACCTCCAGATACGCCACTTTCCTCTTTGATCACTTCTGCAAAAAGCCACCTCGCAAACGGCTCGCCTCGTGAAGCTCTATTGTTCTTCAATGCTGCTGTTGACCGAGACCCCACAAACTATATTACTCTCTTTCAACGAGGCGCAGCGTATCTATCTCTCGGAAAGAATTCCCAGGCTACCGAAGACTTTGATCGGGTCCTGAAACTTAAGCCCGACTTTGAAAATGCACTGCTCCAACGATCCCGTTTGAGGGCTAGATCTGCTGATTGGGATGGAGCAATGAGCGACTTGGAAAAGATGGGTAAACGCTCGTCTCCAGAGTACCAAGAACTTGAAGAAGCGCGAAATGCCGCTTCACAGGCTCAAACAGCCGAAGCGCGCAACGATTGGGAGACTTGTGTGTCGCAAGCAGGTCAGGCGATCATGAAAGCGAGTTCGTCATTTCCCTTGCGACAAACTCGGGCACATTGCAGGCTCGAGCGGGGGGAGATTGAGGAAGGTATCAGCGACTTAGTCCACGTCCTACAGCTTTCTCCTGGCTCGATTGAACCCCACCTGCAAATTTCCTCGATGTTGTTCTACTCATTGGGTGACAGTGAGCGTGGCCTGGCTCAGATACGGAAGTGTTTGCACTCGGATCCCGATTCCAAATCCTGCAACAGTCTCTATAAGAGGGAGAGACAAGTTTCTAAACAGCTGGAGAAAGTGCAGGCATTCTTACTTGAAAAGAAGTTTACTAATGCCCAGGGTCTCTTGGTTGGATCTGCTGAAGAAACCGGTCTGATAGATAATATAAAGGAGGATATTCAGCAGGCTAGAGCATCTAGTTATATTCACCCCGCAGCACCTAATAATCTTTATGTTTCTATAATTGAAATGGCTTGTGAGGCATATCATGAGGTTTGAAATCCCTTTTTTGCTGATATCACCTGATTAGGATCAACTAACAAGTGAGTATAGAGTGGTATGCTAAAGAAAGGACGGCCGTACTGCCTCGAATCCATCGAACTCAAACCTCACTCTCTTCATGGTCTTCTATTCCAGGCTCAAGTTGCGGTTGATGAAGATAGATTTGAAGATGCTATTAGAACACTTAATGACGCCAAGGAACACCATCCTGGTTCAGCAAAGGTCCAAACCCTTCTACAAAAAGCCCATACCTTGTTGAAACGCTCTCAGCAAAAGGACTATTATAAGGTCCTAGGTGTCAGTCGTGATGCTGATGAGCGGACAATCAAACGTGCCTACCGCCAACTCACAAAAATCCATCACCCAGACAAAGCGATTTCTCAAGGGGTCACCAAAGAGGAGGCAGAAAAGAAGATGGCTGCAATTAATGAGGCCTATGAGGTTCTTTCGGATCCAGAGTTAAAACAGCGCTATGACAATGGTGATGATCCAAATGATTCGAGCTCACAAAGAGCGAATCCCTTCCAGGGAAGTCCATTTGGTCACGGGGGCGGGCAGCAATTCTTCTTCCAGCAGGGTGGAGGGGGCCAGCAGTTCAAATTTTCGAGCAATGGTTTCAATTTCCCTGGTGGATTTCCTTTCCGTTGATTTTGCGAATTTTGAAATGCGTCAATAAGAGTTTTCTGTACATTTAATCCGGCTTGGTATTGGCATTCGCTGCAACCACATTACTATTCTTAAGAATTCTAAGGAGTTATTGATGAAGCATCTTCCAAATCAGAGATATATGTTTTACCTTAATTGTGATATTGTTTGCCTCACAAAAAAAGAGAATTGTATTTTCCTTTTGCCAGCTAAAGCTTTCTTTATAGATAGTACCATCCTTTTTATGGGGATTAGAAGGGCAATTGATTCGGAACAGCTTCCATATTTACTCTATGAATATAATAAAAAGTCATCTACTTCACTTTTTATCTAGAGGTATGAAGTAAACTAGCAAAGTCACAAGAGCATACCTATGGAAAGAGTCCATCCTAGCAGCTTACCATACCTGGTTATCCTTTCCACTAGTGACTACACGGTCATATGGCTCGACTAATGAGCAATGCTAGTATTCAGACTGATTGAGCAGGCGGAAATGCTTATTTCAGTAAATTTATCGATGCTATACCTAGCCACATCCCTTCCGTAATATACAGAGGTCTACCCTAAAAAGGATACGGGTAGGAATTGAGTCTGCCTAATCACCTTTCGTGTAACGAATTACCGTAGCAGGATTCTCATGTTATTCTCATGTTCAAAATGTCCCTTCATGTATCCCGGTTATCGTCCGTAATCAATTAATGCCCTCCAGCAGCAACTGTACTTCGAATTAGCAAGAGATGAAATCTAAGGACCGATTTCTTGGTAGACGTACGAGGTAGTTTTCGGGCGGGAAGGTTTCTCTCCCATTTCGAACCTTTGGCATTTATTAGAAAGTAGTTCAACCATGAAAAATCGCTGATTAGAGATGAGACATACCACCCGGGGCAGTTGGGGCCCTATAAGGATCAGGGTGTTTCCAGGCCTCCAGCAACTTCTCCGTTTCCCGAAATAATACCTGCCAGCACATGTTCAGCGCTCTCACACCGCGGAAAGATCAGGAATCAGGGAAAATCACCTTCTGTTGACGGGGGTCCCGGACGTCTCGGTTAGCCTCGAAAAGTGATCTAATGTACACAGCTTGTCCACGCCAGGTGTGCCTGTGAACTGCCCAGTCGAGGGCCAGCTTCAGTGATCGTCGATATAACGACCTGTGATGAGCTATATTAGACGTGGCTAGCTGCGATTGACTTCCAGGGTCATCAAATACGTACAGCGCAGCGTTGGCAGACATAATCACTGATATATGATTGCCTTTTGTAGGGTTGTTTCAAGCAACAATATCTGGTAGTCGCGTAGTCGGACCCGAAATTGGCGTTTGCGATAACGTCGGAGTCGAACATTCAACACCCTATCCGCAAGAGCGAACGGGCCAATGAGCAGTAACGTATACTAACTACGAGCGGTATTGATGCCTCAGGACAAAACTGCCTAACTGGACCATCTCGACTACTGCAGTAGCGTAATAACAATACTCCGTCTACCACTGCTGGCCCTATCGGGCGCAAGGAATTAAGGAGGTGTTATGGGTATTTCCGGCTGTTTCGGCCCGTTATTTTCCACGCATGTTAGGTTAGGTACTTTCTAGCATTGTCATATTCCATGACTAGCACCGCAGCAAACTATTCTTGCAACTATCTAGTAAGTTGACATTGAACTTAACAACTAGCTTCTTTAATAACCTCTTATTCAACCACAGTTTGCATTGCGCCTGTCTACCATTGAAGCCTAAGCAATATGGCTTCTAGATTACCTTTCCATCGCTTGCCCAAGCAGCAACTTCTGGCCCTTTCACGAACTACTCGCAGGTGCCCTTCTTCTCAAAGGAATATTCACTCAATTGCGGTTCCAAAGCGCTTGGCCGTCGTGGGCCAGTCTTCTTTGGTTTCTGGGTAAGAGTCGCTAGCTGTTTGAATATCTATGGGCAGCTTTTATTGCCATTTTCTCTGATAATGACCTGGTTGGTACAATTGAATATACGGCTGATATAGCTCATTCTAGCTCTGCTATAAAACTGCAAACGAATGTGACGTTGTACGCGGGGCGCCAGGTTCGAGGCTATGGTACGCTGAGCTATTCAAGATTCAATGTTTGATGGAAAACTTACCACATTTAGCGGACACTATTATCAAGGTTCCCCAGATGGCGGAATCGATCACAGAGGGAACATTGAAGCAGTTCTCGAAGCGTATGTTATACCTAGGGAACGTCTCTTGGTGAATAATTCTGATTGAGGTATAGAGGTTGGCGATTTTGTCGAGCGTGATGAAGAGATTGCTACGATTGAAACCGACAAGGTAAGATATGGGCCAGCTCTTTGACAAGGGGTGAGGATATCAGCCGCAAATTAGGATATTGATATTCTGCTTAGATTGATGTCTCGGTCAATGCGCCTGAATCTGGCACCATCAAGGAATTTCTTGTGAACGAGGAAGATACTGTTACTGTTGGACAAGATCTTGTCAGGATTGAGGCCGGCGGTGCGCCTTCTGAATCGAAGAAGGAAGAAGCAACCGAACAGCCCAAAGAGCCTGCTGCTACCAAGGAGACGCAACCCTCGAAGGAATCGGAGACTTCGGCACCCTCGAAACCTTCCCCTGCACCTGAACCCTCCAAGGCCCCGGCTCCCCAGAAGTCTCAGCCAGAGCCGCCCAAGGCAGCACCTGCCTCTGAGTCAAAACCTACTCTGGGAAACCGTGAAGAAAGAAGGGTATGAGCAGTCCTTCCTCTGGCCTTATTTTCCTTTGCATTGATTACAATAAACACTGACTCCCTTGTCTTTTGGTCATCCAGGTTAAGATGAACCGCATGAGACTCCGTATCGCAGAACGCTTAAAGCAGTCTCAGAACACAGCTGCTTCCCTGACGACTTTTAACGAGGTTGATATGTCCTCTCTTATGGAGTTCAGAAAGCTTTACAAAGACGATGTTCTGAAGAAGACCGGCGTTAAGCTTGGCTTCATGAGTGCCTTTTCTCGCGCTTGTGTTCTGGCTATGAAGGATGTGCCAGCCGTCAATGCCTCAATTGAGGGGCCTAATGGCGGCGATACTATCGTTTACCGGGACTACGTAGACATCAGTGTGGCCGTTGCTACCGAGAAGGGCCTAGTCACCCCTGTTGTACGCAACGCCGAAACTATGGATCTTGTTGGAATCGAAAAGTCGATCGCAGACCTTGGAAAGAAGGTAAACCAACTGAAATGCGCGTTATCTACAGGCATCTACTGACACTCGGCCAGGCGAGAGACAACAAACTGACAATTGAGGACATGGCTGGAGGAACCTTCACTATCAGCAATGTGAGCTCGTTGAAGGATTTCTTCTATATTAATCATTCTAACACTGGTCACAGGGTGGTGTTTTCGGATCCCTTATGGGCACGCCCATCATCAACCTTCCTCAGACCGGTAAGTGGCTCTCGGCTTACATACAGCCGCTTGACTTAAAACTGACATGTTCCAGCTGTCCTTGGACTGCATGCCATCAAAGATAAACCCGTGGCTGTTAACGGAAAGGTTGAGATCAGACCGGTATGTCATCCTGGCTCTTGTCCTGTTAAAACTGTGTTCTAATATGTGACTAGATGATGTATCTTGCCCTGACCTATGACCACCGACTTTTGGATGGCCGTGAGGCTGTTACTTTCTTGGTTAAGGTTCGATATAACCCCATAAGATACCTAAGATATACTGCTGACCCATTCGTTAGATCAAGGAGTACATTGAAGACCCTCGTCGTATGCTCTTGGGCTAAATCGACACCCTAATTTTCTGAGCTTACCGCTCACTTGTAAGGACGTGATTTTGTAGATTAAGGAATTTTATCTCAGTTTAGGACACCAAAAAGGGTTCTCATAGAAAGCCTTGGTTCGAACCAGCTTTTTGGTTTCTTTTATAGGCTTGAACAATATCCTAACATGTTTTACGTCATGGACGTGCAGACAATCCGCGAAAGTATATATTCATATAGACTTGTTATATGATTGTCCCCGAAACTGTTACTGTATAAGTTCTGACCAGTTGTTTGTGGTTAATTATGGCGAATTGACCGGGAGCCCAATCAATATAACACATGTCAAGGCCCTTTTCTCCTATTCTAGTAATTTAGAACTACTTTGTAGAGAGTGCGGGCGCGTCAGATATAAGCGCCTGTGCAATCTTATGATCTGAATTATGGGCATTATTATGACCTTTTGCTATCATGCAACCCTTGAGAGAAGTCCTCCCATCAATTATAAAAATATTTAGGCTTTGGTGACAATCCCCGTGCATATTATTAATGTAATAGGGTTGGAAATCAATTAGAGTCCAGACTGGGCTTTGAGCTCCGCTGTCTCAGTATGGCTAAGTCCGTCTAAAGACCCCATCTCAAGCTGCAGAAGCACAGGGGCATCTAGGGCTTCAATGATCTCCAGCAAAACATTGATCAACAGGCCTTCAAACTGGAATAAAGAAGGATTTTCGGGGATTTCTCCTAACTGTAAAAGGTTCAGGAACTCCGTTGTATACACCAAGTCGTGAGAACGCGTCGCCAGCTCGGGAGTGCCTGTTGTTGAATCTGGCTTGTGTTCTCCGAATGTCCTTGTAGAGCATTTATTCTTGGCTTCCATCGGCGTGTCTCCGAATATCCTGCATCTCTCTAGTGATGCTTGCTTCATGAAACCAGTGGTGACTTCTAATCGTTGTGTTATGGACAGCCAAGGGCTGGCAAGCTCACAGAGCTTCAAGATATCTGGCACCATGTCCGAAAGTGGTCTGATCAAGCGGCGAGGACAGGCCTTATTGTTTGATGAAGGTATCTTCATTTGAAGTAGCATCTGCTTGTAGTTCGCGTCCAGTGCTTCGGAATTAGTCATGGGTTCATCACGGTTCTGCGAAGACATTTCTTCCGCTGTTGTCTCTTCTGGTACGTGTGTACTTGAGAGCTCGTCGTGCGGATCATGACTGGGGTATAGATTTGCCTGCTGTTGACGTAGTTCTGGATGCGTATAACGACAAAGAAGCTTGTCTGCGAAACCAAGGATATAGCGTTTCAACTCCAGGTCACTAGGAAGACGTGCATCGGCGATTCTGGTAGATATTATCCTCTCGAATGCTGTGGTACACAAGATCAGAGATATGGTTCAGGAGCGTATTCCATTATTGAGAGTTCAAACCCTTTGTCACGACGATACTTACAGTATGCCAAACTAATAGCTCCCGCTGCATCCAAGGAATGAGGCCTCTCTAGCCTATCTGCTATACGAGCCCTCAAAAGGGCATTCAGTGCAAGGCATAGCAAATAATCGAGTATCATGACATCGACCGCCTCTTGAGTATCGTTCTGTGCCTGTTGGAAATCCATATCAGAGAGGATTATCTCAGTACCTTCCTATAGAATTGAGATAATATGCTATAATGCTCCATGTCAAGTTGAAGTCTGCAAAATTTGGTAGATGTTTGCCCATGTGCTTCTTTGCGTGGTTTTATGATATATCAAAGTGCTGAATATTTTATGAGAAATCAACTAATTAGTTATAGCATATCTTCTCTATTCTCTTAGAAACTACTTAGGCAGCACTGAAGCATACACAGCTAATTTATAAGGTAAAATAACTTTAATCTAGGCAGCTAGGCTCAAATAGGAATTATAGGAATATATTGAGTATTGTTCCACGAGATGCATTAGAAATCAATAACTAAGCTACTGAGTTAACTACAAGTAAATACTGAACGAGTCCTTAAATTCCCACTATTAGTGGCAATTGGGTAGATTGTATACTTTCTCATAATATGTGATATATTTCATTTACTGTAAATTCAAATCAGTGTGATCGTGAGGAATCAAGTTACATGCTCTCATAGTCTTAAGAGAAAAGAAATAATACAGGAAGGTTCAGCGACGCTTCAATGCGTTTCGTCTGAGTTTAAACACTCTTGTTCTCAGCCATGTCATGAAAAGCATCCAGGTGCTCTTGGACTGAGATTTCCAGGATCCTGACCTGTGTCGTTGGTGTTGAGGAGAGGAACTAGGGCGAGTTGGCTCGGGAAGGCCGGTGCTCTCTTGCGATACCTTTTCTGCAGCGAATGTGCTCTGGTACTGATCAGAGTTTGTGGAGTTTCGTAAGCTCTGCTTCTTCTTGCGGCGATTTTCCTTTTCCTCCGCCTTAATCTGCTGCTCTTCGAATTTACGGGTCTTTGCTGCCTCTTTCTCCTCAAACGCCTGGCGTGCTGCCTGCACAGTGGCGGCGCGGGATAAAGTATCCGTATTTGTTCGTGTTTTCGATCGGAAGATAAAGTCTAGAGATGACCTGGATGTTGGAGACGTCGTATCCAGGACGCTCGAGTTGTCTCTAGAGTAGCCAAAAGAAGTACGCCCAGTGATACTAGGCTGAGATATTCCTATTCCAGGGAGTCTCGAGTATGAACCATCATTGAGTTGGAGAGATAGCCGAGGAGCCTGCCCAGACGGTGTACGGGCAAAAGGTGGAGGGCGTTTCAAGTCTGTGTTGTCTGGAGCCTGCTCGCAATGTGACGACGGGTTTTCAAGCTCAGGGTTATTGGTTTCAGTGATTGATGTTTGGCAGGATTGATTGAGTGGTGGCGTATACGACCGAGGCGTCTGGCGCATTGGGTGAACATACTGAGATCCAGGTTTTCCAACACTCGAGGAACTTGTACCCGAAAATTGTGAGGTTGCACTTGTAGAGCGATTGTGAAAACCCGAGACAGTCCTTCTGGCAGTTAAACTCGAATATGAATCGGTCTGCCACCCGTCCTTCGCGGTGTTCATGAAGATCCCCAGCCCTTCTTGTTCAAAAGACGACCGTGAAAGATCGATTGAAGTTGAGCGTGACTCATCCCCAGAAACCTGTCTGAGAAGAGGATTGATGTGCTTCTTACTTTTGTGGCCCTTTACTTTATTCGGGAAAGTATCCAGGCTGTCGGAGATTGTGTCCTGAGAAGGGGGTTTCGTCAGCTGATCGGGATCACTGACCCAAGACTGTTCGTGTAGCACCTGAGGCTGGGGATTCTTTGAAAGGGAGCTGGAGAGCTGGTGGCTACTTTGAGATGGTGGGGTCCTAGAGCTCGAGACCGAGTACAGTGTGTCCTTCGAGTTGACCAAGTTCAAGTCTGAGCGCATCAGTGTTTGAGAGGGGATCGGAACCGCTTCGGAGCGCGGACCGATTCCATATTCGCGAGAGGCGATCGTGTAGTAATTCTTCTCCGAGTCATGGATCTCTCCAGGATTCTTGTGACCTGTGACCTTGAACATGGAATCTTGGCTCGATCGAATGCTTTGCTTTGCCATAGGAACAGGAATAAGAGTAATCCGATATCTCTCCCTGTTGGAGCAAACCAGGTATGTATATGCCTCCGCTAATATCCCACGAGATGCATGATCAGCCACCGAGATTAAGCTGCTCGCTGGGATGTAGATTCCAACCCCTCCAAGGCTGGCTGAATGGTCGACAAGGCTGGGGATCTATGCGGTTTGAGAGCACATCAAAGGGAAGACGAATTATACAACACGCAGAAAAGTGGTTATGATATTGGTAGACAGTAACAGCTGGAGGTTTCGAAATCACAGCTCTGCAGGATCATAGAGATATGGGGGCATAGAGCGCTGAACTTCACTGATCAGATATGCGAAGGTAGAGGCGCTTTCAAAACATATTCCTTAGTAATTAAGGCATCAATATGAAATAATCAGAATAAATAGGGAAATGATGATGCTAAAGTGATATGGAATAGTAAGGTTTAGTGATGCCGCAGCACTCCGGAGTGCTGCTTCAAGTATGGAGAGATTGCTTTGCACCACTAGCTCTGGGAGAGGAGTAACTAAAGCAGTGGTTGGTAAGTAGTTCCTCCGGGCTCCGTGGAGGGTTTGGAGGACCTACTCCGTAGTAGTACACATTAATAAACTGGCAGCAGCTAAGAAACTAGTTGTAACTAGTCAGTTAACTAGTCAATTAGTTAACAGGCCTCGGCCATAACTAATTAGTTAGTTAGTCAGTCTCTTAACTAATTATTAGTCGCCTTATTGTACAAATATTACGATGGTACTCCATAAAGAGAAGAACTTTCTTGCTGCACCCTGACTCCTTGGCTCAATATACTTAGTGATTGCAATTATATACATATAACTATGATGGGAAGACTATCTCTTCCTCATGTAGGCTGCTATTCAGCGATCATGACGGTGCCTGGGTAAAGGTGCCGAGGTGGTATTACTCATGGGCCCATGGTTACATCTCCATGGCTTAGTGGTACGATATGATGTTCCAAGAGCGGTCAAATTCTATCATAGGCAATATATCATGAACCATGGGATATTGACTTTTGGGGGGGGGGGGGATGTAAATACAAAACATAAACAAGGCATGAAACATGGGTATCAATGATCCTCACAGTCCGGGTCATAGCGCGTGAAGCTCACGGTATATAACTATGTACTATAGGTAGCATATCACTTCATAACCGCTCACCGCCACCATAAAATCGTCTCGATCTTTCGAGGCGGTGGTAGTGGCTTGGCAAAGGAAACAACCATTTAATCCCAGTTACCCTTTTCGGCATCCCGCTGGGCATGGTCTTCTTCCCTGGAAGCAATAAATTCCGCATTGTCGCTGCTGTCGCCGCTCTTGGCCTCGGAGTCGGCCGGCCCGAATCCGTATTCGATAGCAACGCGCTCAATGTCCTCATCCGAGAGGTAAGGCATCTCCTCGGCGGCTCTCACAGGGCTCTTGTTCTCAAGGTGAGCCTTGGCAAAGATCAAATCAATCTCTTCCAGGGAGCGGCGGGCCGTCTCAGGGTAAAAGAAATAAATCACAGGCAAGAAGCACGCGTTCACGACAGCAAAGAAGAGGTAAGTGCCCCACTTAATGTGGGTGACCATGATGGGAGTAACCATAACAATGAGGAAGTTGAAGAGCCAGTTGGAGCAAGTAGAGATAGCGTTGGCTTTGGCTCTGGTCTTAATCGGCGAAATCTCCGCAGGATACAGCCAAGGCAAAGGCAGCCAGGTCGCACCGAAGCTTGCGATGTAAGTGAAGAGACCGACGGCCGCTCCCTTGGCAGAAGATGGGGTGTCGGGAATCAAGCAGGCAAAGGTGATGACCATAGACAGACATTGGCCAACCGTGCCGTAGAGGAAAAGCTTACGTCTCCCAACTCTCTCAATCAAGAACCAGGAAAACGTAGCAAAAATGGAGTAGACAATCATGTTCACACCACCTAAGATCATAGACATGGTGTAGGTCTGGCCGAGCGAGTTGCGGAAAAGGACTGGCAGGTAGTAGATGACGGCATTGCAGCCACCAATCTGCTGCATAAACTGCGAAGAGGCGCCGAGAAGCATGCGTCTAAAGTGCTGGGTCTTTCCTCCAGTGAAAACAGCGGACAGAGGGGTCGACTTGCCAGCTTGACCGGACCTATATATGAGTCAGTATTTGGGCCTGCAGGTAAAAGATGTTTCGGTGCATACGCTCTAATAGAGTCCAGTACGATATTCTTCTGAAGCTGGACACCATGATCTCCGATTTCCTTGCCCATCAGAGCAGCAATGACGGTTTCACCCTCTTCATACCGCTCGCGGGTAAAAAGCCATCTAGGAGACTCGGGCAAAAAGGTCATGCCAACGATGATAAGGATGCCGAAAAAGATCTGGAAGGCAATAGGAAAGCGCCACACGAGGTTAGAAGAGCCATAGGAAGCTCCGAAATCAATCCAGTAGGCAATAAGAGTGCCAAAAGCAATGATGCCTCCCTCGATACAAATGAGCAGACCTCGGTTTGAGGTCCTGGAACACTCAGCCTGGTAGGTGGGGATGGTCGAAGTGTTAATGCCGTTGCCGACACCTGTGATGACTCTCCCGGCAATGAATTGGGCAAGAGGCACATGGCCAACCATAGAAGTCACCTGAATAATGACACCGATAATCATGATGGAGGCGCCAATAATAATGGCCCTGCGGCGACCGAGCCAATCACCAACACAAAGGATAAAAATGGCACCAAAAAGGCATCCTGAGGAATGTTTATCAGATAGATCCCTTGAGAAGTAAGATGCGATACTAACCAATTTCATAAATAGCAGTCACAGTTCCCTGCATGGTTGAGTTATCTTTCGTGGCTGTAAAAACGTCATTGAAGGCTGTCGCATCAATAATACTACTCATGACTCCCTCTGAAAAGAAAAGAAAAAGAGTTAGCAAGTCGAGAACCCAAGGTGCTAATTATCCTGGAGCCTCACGGTCATATCCAAAAAGAAGGAAGCCCATGGTTGCTACTGTAGTCACAGCACGCCCCAGCATCACGCCGGACATGCCGCCGAACTTCGGAACGGACATGGTGATAATGATGTTGACGGTGATATCTTTGCTTAGCGCAGGCAGCAGTAACTGATGCTCAAGTATTGTTCATCGAGAATGTTTAAGAGAAAAGAGAAGTATGGACTAGATCGGCCCTAGGTAGTTATAGACAAGAACCAAGAAAGTACCGTATTCTTTGACTTGAACTATGTTCGAGAAGTAGACAAAAAGCAAAGGCGGTACTGGCTGAATGTCACACTTGAGAGACGGGGGAAGGAATCAGTCTTTCTACCCATGCCGGGGTATCGGTTCCTTAAGAACCTTTGCATCTCCTCCACGAACACATGGGATCTATGTGCGGGTTGGTGCTCCGTCTTGTTGTGCGGGTACCACTCCACCGCAATTTCTCGACGGGTTGTAGGGCCCATGGATAAAAAAATTAAAAAATCTCTTTTTCGACAATTAATATTGCATCTTGTCGTACGAAATTCGGCGTACCTTCAACTTGACGGGCTGCATCCAACCCTGGTCCACCCTGGTGTGGATTGAATGGATCTGCAACAAAACCATATCGACGAACCAGATCACTACATTTTGCCACTTTTTGTAGGATGGCGGTCGGAAGCGGAGATCCCCTAGGGGCCGGTGGCTTTTGATCCACCTCTTTCTATGGACGCATTGGGCGGCGGTTCATAAAGTGGAACAGGCCGGTTGTTCAGGCCCCAGGGCCACTGCTCTGTGCAGCAAGTCCTATGTCACCACAGAAGGTACCTGTTACTTAGTTACCTCAACTAGTAACTAAGTGATGCATGTTCCGTGAACACCTAGATAGACAAATACTCTCTGGTTGGAAGTCGACAAATATTCACCAGAGTGGCGAGAAGACCAGGGGGGGTGCCCTGCTGATCATTACAGGCAAGGGGCAATTGTTTTTCCAATGTTCCATTCAAACCGGGGTAATAATATGCTGGGGATTATTGCCCCCGGGGAGCTGTCCATGTCATCCTAAACTAGGTGGGATCACTGCTGAGATGACATCGGAAGTGGAACTTCGTGCAGGGTCGGCCTCGCTTCACCTTCTTGATTCTGTTCCACGTGTATTTGATAAGCTGATAACCTATGGTCAAATTCATTCTAAGTGGACGTTGGATATGATCCCGAATTTCGGGTTAGGAAGGTATAAACGCACTACGGAGTATGCGCATCCCCAGTGGGATGGAGATATGGAGTAGCCTCTTGCCCCTACGGGACGTGAGACGTGACTCGTGAGCACCGGGATGCAACGCGCATTGGTACTACTCCATCTAGGACATACCGAGTAGTAGTACGACAATGATTTGATGAGATACCCATCACTTCTCCATAGCGAGATAAGCGTGGTCAAAAAATGGTGGAGGCGGTCTCCACAAGTAGTAAAAATCATATTAGCGGAGAAAAAATATATACGTTTCGGCACCTGTGGTATGCCTCGAAGCTCACAGAGCATACTGTATGTGCGTCATGCTGCTTGCATCACAGCCTCCGGACTAATCCGTCCCAAATTCCCCCTGATGGGTAGAACTGCTGCTGCTGCTGCGCATAAAGCCTTTCCCCAGGCAAGCTTAAATTTATGGGACCGCCACTGACATCACTGGGTGGCCCACTGGGTCTCCAGAATCCATCTACGGAGCACCTACCTTGGTTAGGTAGGTACAGAGCATCCATGGAGTAGAGGTTGCTCGGTTTTCCTATCTTTAAAGGCTAGCGTCACTGACTGTTTCAAAGTTGCCCTGGGCCTTTGATCGTTGCGACCAAACAGCTGTGCTGCACGAGACTTGAAAGCATGAAATTCATTAGTCATTGGCCTCTAGCTCTTTCTCATTGGAGAATAGCATTCCGAGTATTTGCCGGGATTTACCGGCCCAAACAGCCAATCAATAAGCACTCTTCCTATTCCTAGGGTACGTACTACGGAGTACTTTTACAGAGTACGATGGATTGGATAAAGTGAGCCCATACCCGATGCACCGGCATACCTTCCATCGGTCCGCGGCCAAGAAGGTGGCCGATTTCTCTCCCGAAAACCGAACATTTGGATATTAGATAACTTGAGCTGCGGCAAGGAGCAGCAGTCAGTACCTAGTTGCTAGTAGGTAGTAATAACCGAAGCAGTCATTGATCCGATAGGTACCGCAGAGATAGGTGGCTAGGAGACGTGCGCAGTGAATTAGAGAGCATTGTATACGGAAAATGAAATAGCCAGCAGTGACTAGCAAAAAGTGAAGACTGGAGGCGCTAGCTACTGCATATATCCCGGATCGATTCTGGTACCACCTACAGAGCACATAGTAACTGCCCGGGTTGAATTAGAGGTAGGTACCTAGTAGGTAGGTGTCAGGCAACGGTACAGAGAATTACGACCATGCTAATACTCAAGAGCCATGTGCTCAATCAAGGCTCACAAGAGCCTCGGATCTTCCGGTGTCGTTGTATGTGCCATGGACGTGGCTGTTTGTTTTGAGGGGCTTTTAAGGTCATCGATAGAACACCCGGTCTCCAAATCGGTGTTTATTGAGAGTAATAGAAAAGACCGAATCGACAGTTATGAGAAGTCCAGTGTTCAAGAATCAACTGAGTAGATAGTTTCTGGATAAATTCCCATATTTATTTGCAGACAACTACTCGATGGAGCTATGTAATTACCGAGAGTTCCCATGTACTGTATGATAGGTAATATATTTATTGCATCAGGATATGCGCTAGGGCCGAGTCGAATTCAATCATCAGGGTACTCGTCCTTGATGTTGCTAATAAAGGTCCGTGTTGTCTGGTCCCACCGTTTGAAGTACTTTCCTGCCGCCGAAACCAGAAGTTGGGGTAAATCAGTAACATGCGGGGTGATGATTTCAATATTTTCTTCGGCCACATATCGAAAAGTCTTGTCTTCAACACTTGAATCGACAAAAGTCAGTAAGTTCCACGTTAAAATGATAGGGGAAAACCACGTGGACATACAGGGCATGGTAAAAGCTCTGATGCCTACCAGCTTGCAGGCGATCGATACCCATTTGCCTCATCCACTGCTCATCTGCTCCACACTCCGAATCCCATCCGATAATGATGGCTCTATAATTGTAACGGCGATGCCGAAATACTTGGCCGACACGATAGTTAACATTGTTGTGCTCCTCACTTCGTTGGTGGATTTGCTTTGATCTTTCATCCACTGTTCGCATAACATGGAGACTGTCCAGGATATGCTCATACTCCGGCATATCCTGGAAAAGAGGGACGATGTATTGTTCAATCAGGTATAAATCACATGTAAAATCAGTGGCAAATACTTCCATTAGCCAAGGTAGGTAATCTCTTAGCACAATTGATCTGGGCTCATTTGCAAGGAGTATAGAAGCCCAGAGGGCGCTATATTTTGCACTCACAAGATCTACTGTTGCCAGATGTAGATCAGGGGCCTCGGAGTTGTGGTGGATTGAGTTTAAGATATTCCGTCCACATCGTAAAATAATTTCAGAAGGTAGTGACTCCTGTAAAAATACTGATTGTTCATTGCTGGATGCACCCAGGAAACTCAACTGTCTTTGTAAATCGGAAGCTGGGGTTTCTTTATCAGAACGGAAAGGATCCATGTACATAGGATCCCCTATGTCTCCCTCATCGAGAAGGTTGCCATCCATGTCTATTCCTGGCGGAGGCCGGAGTATTACATGCACATGGAAAGGGAACCCGCACGGGTGAGCCTTCAGGCCGACACATTGTGCCACATAACAATAAATGGCGGCTGAGATCAATGGGAGTGAGTTATGTCCAGGATCTGTCAGAGCTATGCCAAGGAAGTTGTGGTCCAAACGATGATAATCCCGTCCCGGATCAATACCCGTTAAGTTGGATATTCTCAGGTACAAAGCCAGACTTAAAGCCTTTTGACGAGGCGTGAAATATCGAACATCAGGGTAAGCTCTTTGAAACTGGGTCACGATATCATCCAAATTTGATGTAATCTGCTTGGAGTCAGATTGCTTCGCGTATCGATACGCCCAAAAGCCAAGAATTGAATACCTGCTTCAGGTCATCAAACCCGCTCTCTGGGAGGAAAAGATCAAAGGCCCCCAGTGCCTGTTCAAGGGAAACGTCTTCTCCATTTCGAAGCCTTGACCATTCAGGAATGGCGGTACTTCGATGTAGGCAAGATAGGAGCGCTTGAGCATAGTACCTTTTACGGAAAGAACGATGTCAAACCAGACAATAATCATGTTGGGGGACACTAATGACCAACCTTCTTGCTAAATAATCTTCTTCTTCCGATTCTGAGTGAATGTGCGTTAAAAGGGTGTCTTTTGCATCATATCCGAAGCTAGTGATCGTATGGAATTTTCGGATCCTCCCAGTCTGATTTGCAAGTATGCTATTCAAGACCTGCGTTGTTTCACGGTCAATGTGATATCTCGCGATGAAGAGTTCTTTCCAGTCTATCGACGAGGCTGGACAGTTAAGTTTTTCATCAATGTCATGTCTACTATCCCAGAACTTGAAATGGGACTGGCAGTAGAAACGCCATAATAAGGGTTCTCGGGTGATGGTGCTGAATCTGCGAGCGGTTTGTTCTAGAGAAACAGTAGAGCAAGGATGGCAGTGACAGAGAATTATATATAATATCTCATCAGGAAGTCCTTGAAGAGGTGGGATCATCTCGATATACTCTTACTAAAGTATTGTCTTAGAAAGGAGCGGGTCTCGAGTTAAAGCCGATAGTTACGGAGCCGGGATTAACTTACTGAGATGAAACACCTCGAACCAGTAACCGATCACCTCATGGTCACCTTGCAGGATTCAGTCGTATCTGGCGTTTTCATACATTATGGGTCAAAGTTACTCCAAAAGCGACGAGCCATGTTCGGAATCTTCCAGCGGACATATCGATCGCAAACCGGACTACTATGAACTTTTGGGAGTTGACCGAACTGCTTCACCAGACGAGTTAGTGTTCACAACTTTGGCCCGTTCTTTGATCGGCTAACTTTATCCTTCAGAATAAAAAAGGCATATAAAAGAAAAGCTCTTGAGCTACACCCCGATAGAAATTATGGAAACGTCGATGCCTCCACGAAACTTTTCGCAGAAATCCAGTCAGCATATGAAGTTCTTTCCGATGATCAAGAAAGGGCGTGGTATGATTCTCATAGCGACGCATTTCTCGGTGAGAATGGAGAACCCAGCGAAGTGCCTTTTGCATACAATAATATGCGAATGACTACTGCAAGTGATATCATGAATATTTTCTCAAAATACAGCCCTGGTATGGAATTTTCAGATAGCTCTGACGGATTCTATGGTGGTCTTCGAGAGATATTCGATCAGCTCGCTTTGGAGGAGAGACTCGCATGTCAATGGGAAAACGCACAGAGCGTGGACTTGCCAACCTTTGGAAATAGCACCGACTCTTTCGACGAGGTGGTGCGGCCGTTCTATGTCATATGGAGTGGCTTTTCTACGAGGAAGTCATTTGCTTGGAAAGATATTTATCGGTATTCGGAAGCCCCTGATCGCCGAGTGCGACGGCTTATGGAGAAGAAGAATAAAAGCTCGCGAGAAGAAGCAATCCGCGAATTTAACGAAGCAGTTAGATCGCTTGTCGGGTTTGTTAAGAAACGTGATCCTCGCTATAAAGCAGGAACCAAGACCGAAGCTCAACGTCAAGAAGCACTTCGCCAGTCGACAGCTGCACAGGCCGCCAGGTCGCGGGCAGCGAACCAAGCTAAGCTTCGCGAACATGTCATACCTGACTGGGCAAAATCTGAGGATCCTGGGGAAATATCGTCGAACCAAAGTTCGGAAAGTGAGGTTGAACACTTCGAATGTGTTGTGTGTCGCAAAACTTTCAAAAGCCAAAAGCAATTTGAGGCGCATGAGCGTAGCAAAAAGCATGTAAAGGCCCTAAAGCAGCTTCGCTGGGAAATGATGCAAGAAGATAAGCAACTAAAGTTAAATGTTGATGATAATTAACAGTTATAATTATATAGTGTTGCCACTGTTCACTAGCAGATAATTCACTTTTAAGACATAGTATTAAATATATTATAATATAAATTCTTCATTATATAGTAATGTCAGCTGCAGTGCAACTGAGTGACATAATTAGAATAGGACTATTTATCTATCATTATTCAACTACCTAGGTAGTCTAAAAACCTAAATGAAGATTATACTAAGAACCACTTAAGGGAGTTAAGCAGCACATAAAAAGTTAAAGCTAATAACTATGGCTATTTCAACATCTAGAATTGATCATTGTCGTTGAATAGGGCCGTGAGGTGGAAGATCTAGGGCAAAGGATTGAGTTATCAGGAAATAGCTGTATTAGGAAACTATTGATTGTTAAGGTGTTTATGGTACCTAGTTACTAGGTAGGTCATGATGTCTGGTTCTTCAGCGATGCGAGTAACCCATGTTTTCTGCGATAGTTACTTGGGATGGGAGATGAGAGATACTTTATATTGGAATTTCTACGATCGTCGTAGAACAGGGGTATTCCATTTCAAGGCTTGTATTATATGGGTGTCGACAGTGGAGGTAGTAACTAGCTTCATGACCCTTTTTTAACGAGAAGCTGTATGGTTTGCTGCTACCTTGTATATTGACCTCAAGATATAACCCCCCAATTTACATGAACTGATAATCATTAAATGCGATACTTGGGTCAAAGCCTATCCCAATGACAGCCCTTTAAAGTAGAAGTATAAATTAGGCCAATCTGATTCCATCTCAAGAATAAAAAACTCAGTACTTTGCTGAGAGATCGCTGTATTATATACACTATCCCAGACCCGCCCTAGTATTTTTTACAACATGTGTGACAGGAAGTAAGATGCCCTTATTGTTAGAAGCTCCAAGGGGGGTTCCTATACTCCAACCCATCTTTTCGAGCATAGCTCTTCCCTTGTTTTGGGCACCAATTTCCGGCGCAGAGCCGCCGACAATATCGCCATCCATGTAAGACACAGATTTCTTTAAATGGCCCGCGCGAATTTTCGTTTTGCTGCTTGATGCATGACTTTCCCATTGCTGGGCGACCTGGCGTTCAAACTTACCCCCTGAAAATATCTGGTCGACCTTGGATATTGTTTTTTGGGTATACTGCGGAGTGCGAGATGTCTTGTATAGCATTGGAAACCTCGAAGTACCAGATCCTTTCGACTGAGATTTCAAAGAAACAGCGTTTGCCATATTATGGACCAGTCGTCGTTGTCGTTTGTCCATAGGAGGCAATGCCAAACTGAGAGCGATTAGTTATAAGAATGGAAAGCTTCTCTGCCACTTGCATCCAAAATATCTTACCTATCCCAATGAGAAGTTAAGAAAGTGCGGGCTTCCAATTTTAAATCATCGATATCCATGCCGTCTGGGTATTTGACCTTAAGATCTGCCTTGTCCTTGTTACGACCAAGCAATCCCTGAGAACGAAGCTCCTCCCTTTGCTGCTTCTTTATCTTCTTGCGTGCCCTATCATTTTGGTATGCCTTCTTTAGTTCGGTCTCAAGTTCGGTCTCAAGTTCACTGTCTGATAAATGGAAGGATGCGAGTTTGCCTTTGGGTTTTTTGTTGGGCGTATATTCATTATATTTTATCGTGTCAGGCTCATGCAGGTCGAACTGTGTTACATCCGAGAAGGTAATTCCCCGGCGTGAGGCTTTCTTCCCGGGTAATCTCCGTCCTAGCCCATTCTGCTTCAAATGTTGAGTTTTACCTTTGCCCAGAATCATAATGTCTTGTGCACCAATATCCGTGCCAAGGAGAAAACCAAGTTCATGTGCATCGATATCTCTTTCAGAATCATTAGAGGAATGGTCGGTCTGTATACTTGAATGATCACTTTCTAAATCAAAGGGGATATAAGACTTTGCCGATTCAAGATTGAGGTCGTCGGCATGTCTCTCGCTATCTTCTCCTGGTTTCACTGGTCAGATTGAATTTTTTACATAGTACTCATGGTCCTTACCACCAATCAATAGGGTGCGGTCTTTCACTCGGCTCTCAAAAGAAAGCCCGTGTGTGTTGAGCGATATGGAAGCAGGCGTGGTCTGGATGTTTGAATGCTCTATCCACGATGGCTTTTCCGAGGTGGAATGGTCCGAGGCACAGCTGTCGATACCATCATGGATCTCGGTATCTGACAGGTCTGTAATACCTCGCTCTGCAGGCGATTTGTTTGATAGCATGTTGTACACCACAGGTGAAACAGAGAAACTCTGCCTTGAAGCAAGATGATCTTCATCTTTTCGATAGTCTGCAACTTGTCCGATAGAAGGTTCTTGAACAAGGCTGTCAATAATGAACTGATCTTGGGTGAGTGATGATTTTGAGTGTCCTCTGTTGTTTCGGCCAGTAAAAACAACTTCATCTTCACTGGAATCTGTAACACTGGGCGAATGTGTATACATGACTGGGTTTGGGAGTCCAGTAGGAGTAATGCTCCTGCCTTCTCTATCTATAAAGAAAGAAGTTTCAGGGTGTTCTGGGTAACCAGGCGACTTAGTAGCTAGTTTTCTCCAGGAATCAATTGGGTTGCAAAGGTCTTCACCACTATGACTATCATTATTGATAAGTGCTTCTCTCTGGTCACTTGTCGCTCTTAAGTGTGAAAGGTTGCTACCCTGAGTAGGCTGTCCTTTCTGTATCATACTGCCTTCACCTTGGATTGTATTAATAAGAGGACTGTTGTGATGAAATGGCATAGTTAATGGAAGGGTACCTATAGGTGATTGACTAATGTGTTGACCTGGTAGCCACACATTTTGCTTTATTAGCGCTATCGTGATAATTTGTACTGCGTACTCCAGTTATACTATGCGGTGGAGCACCTGGTCACCCACATAGTTGGTGTCTACAGCGTGGCGGCCTCAGTCTACCTAGGTAGGAAGTAGAGATCACATTTTTCTTAATAGTGCCCAATGGCGCTAACCCCTACTCGGGATTAGCGAAAAGAATTCCATAAATTTTTTAGTACTTGTGTTGCTTATGCCTAATAGCTTATAAATACTTATATACTTATATACACTATTAAAGATAAATATCCCTAGATATATAAATATTAAGCACCTACTTTAACTCCTATAGATATACTAGATGCTATTAATTATTCTATTAATTCTTAATCTTTTTCAAGTGCCCTTTTCTCCCCTTTAGGGCCTTAAGTATTTATTTTGATCTTATTTTATACTTATACTTAAATATCTCTATAATATAATTAAGAGCCTTCTATATAAGAATAAGCTTATTAGCCTTTTTTAATATATTATTTATTAAGTATTTTAAGTAAAAAGAGCCTCTTCTTTCTAAACTATATATTATTTAATTTATTTATAAATATAATATTTATTTTTAATTATAATAAATTAATTAATATAATCTTTTAAAGTAATGACTTTATAAACTATTATTATTAAACCCTAAATAAATTTATTAAGCTTTAAAAAAATTATTAATTAATAAGAGAGATTTAACTCTCTTATAGTTTCTTTATAGATTATTTTAAGCCCTATATATCCTTTAAGATATAACTTAATAATATTAATAAAATAAATAATATTAATAATTAATTAACCTAATATTTAGATATATAATTATATATATGATTAAGATTAATTAAATATAGGCCTACTTTATAAAAACTAGAGAGAATAGTCTTTAGTTCAAAGGTTTTCTTATAAATTTATACTAAAGTATTTATAAATTTTATTTAATTAAAATTAGTATATACTTTAAGTTATATCTTTAATTACTTAATGTAATTTAGCACTAAGCTGCCCACCCCCACCTAGCCGCCCATATCTCACTAACACTTTAATATATCCTTAATACTAATAAATTGAAATTAATTTAACCACCACTATGCTAAAAAAAATCACTTATTAATTAAAAAAAGTAAGAAGGGTAGCTTCTTTTAGCTATTAATACTATTAAAAAGTAATAGATTATATTTATTTATAAAGCTATATATATCTTTAAAGTCCTTTAATTAACCCTTTATAAATATCTTAAAGGCTATATTTTTTAACTAGAAGCTTATACTAATTATTATATATTAAGCCTAAATAAAGAGAATATTCTTATTAATTATATTATATTATATAATAATTATAGGCTTCCCTTATAGCTTATTAATATTTATAATATAATATAGTATATTATTAATTAATATAACCTTAATTTCTTTAATCTACTACTATAGCTTAGTACTAAATAGACTAATAAATTTATTAAATATTATCTAAAAATTAAGGTATAGCTTTTATATTAAATTAATTAATAATATATCTTAACTAAAGATATTAAAATAATTATATAATAGTTTAAGCTAATTTATAATATTGTGATATTGGTGGGGCTATATATATCACCTAACTGAATATACTGCTTTCTAGCAGTATATTGATGCCTTTTTAGTCGAGTGGTTAGGTGCTTGACTTTGAATATCTCAATATAATTATTAAATATAATATATTAAATAAAGATATTTATAACTTTAATAAGATTAGCTTTATAATTAGTATTATTAAATTATTAAATAAAATATTTATAATTAAGTCTAATTATTAAGATAAGGTATAGATAATATAATTTAATAATTATAAATAGGCTATAATAATTAAATATATTAATATTATAAAATAGGCTTTATTAAGTTTTATTATATTAAAAAAGTAAGATCTTCTAGTAGTCCTAGCTTTAATATAATATCTTAAGTAATTAAATAATTATATTTAGTAAAAATAGTTAAATATTTAATAATTATAGGATTTAAAAGCTTTAATATATATTTATCTTATTAATAATATTATAACCTAAAGGTATTAAAAGGCTTTTAATCTTTAATAACTATAAGTCTTATTTAATGCCTAAATTTAATTAAATTTATAAAGATAGTTAAATTATTTTATTATATATATTTATATATTTATTATATTATATATTTATTATATTATTTATAGCTCTTAATATTTAGGCTATTAAAAAAGGCTTATTTATTAATTCTTATATAATAATAATAGCTTTAATATTATTATATTAATAAAGGTAATTTTCTAAAGGAATATTAAATTACTTAAGCTTAAGAGTTATTTATAACTAATATCTTTAATATATTTATAATAATTAGCCTAATTCCCCTAGATTCTAATTATATAATATTATAAAGACTCTATAAGTAAAGGCCCTTAATTAATTATATAAAGATTATAAGATCATATTAAATAATATAATTATATAATAATAATAGATTAAGGATATATAAGCTCTTAATAATATAAAGATAAAGAAGAAGAGTTAATTATAATATTAATTAATTATTAAGCTAGATATAACTATGAGTAAAGTTATAAATTTAATAATAATTAGTGTTGGGCGTCATCTCTATAGGATGGCTAATTTCTTTTGATGGGGGCTGGGCGGCTAGGTGGGGGTGGGCGGCTCAGTGCCAAATTACGTTAATAATAATAATAATACTTAGAGAGCTAAAAAACAAAAATTATAAGATCTATAACTAGCTCTATATAATAGGCCTATAAGCTAATTCTTTTAATAACTTTATAAAGACTTATACTCTATAAGTTAAGCTTCTTATTTAATTATAAGAAGCTTATATTATAAAGGTTTATCTAAATAAAATATTCTATTATAAAGATTTTTATAATATACTTTTTATTATAATATTTCTTTTAATACTTATAAGCCTTCTTAAAGAACTTATAAACTTTTATATAAATATTCTTTATTTTTTTATATAATTTATTATACTCTTATTTATCTTCTCTTATAAAGTCTAAAAAGTAATTATTTATAAGTCTTTATTATAAATAATCTAAAATAAGAACTAGCCTATAAAGGCCTATATTAAGTTATTATATATAAACTTTATAAATAAGAGCTAATTTATTTAATTATCTTATATATAATTTATAAAGGCTTATAAGTACTACTTTAAAATATTATTAAGATATTTTATTTAATTATTAATTTATAGGTAAAAAGCTATATTTAACTTTTTATAAATATTTAATAAAAATAGTAGATTACTTTAAAAATTATTAGTAAAAATACTCCTATAATTAAAAATAATCTTTATAACTATATTATATAGCTATATTATCTCTTAAATTAAAATATTTATAAACTATTTTAATATTAAGGTTTTTATTATTAATATAAAATAAGATATTTTACTAAACTAATTTATTATTATTAAGATTATATTATATACTCTATAGTTTTTAAGGTTTAAATATATATTTATAAATAGATTTATAATATGATTAAGAGTAATCTCCTCTTAAATCCTTATAAAAACTAAAAGAGGTATTAATAAGCTATACTTTTTTTAAAAAATTACTATTCTCTCTTAATAAATTTTATAAGCTTAATAATATAATATAATATCTTAACTTAGGCTTATTTATTAAAACTTCTTTATAATTAGCTTTAAGATTTTTTATTAATTAAAGTAATTTATAAAAGAATTATTATAATATTTTATAAATATTATTAAGTATAGCCCTTAATACTTTAAGATATAAATATATTCTTTGTTGGCGTAGCAGGCCTGGAAAAGGGAAGAGATGGCTAATGGTTGCTATTACTACTATAGCTTAGACATGAAGCAGGTGGTTATATAGTGTGGCCATACTAAATAAGGTAATATTAAGCCTAATTAAGTATATACCTTTAATATATCCTTTATTATTAAGCACCTATCTAGATTAGCTAATCTCTTATTTAATATTAATTAAAGCATATAACAGCAGAAAAAGAGGATTATTTACTTATTAATTATTAATTATTCCTTATTTAATTTATTTTTAGTATAGGTTAGTATTGCCACTTTCTAAAGATTAACTAGTTCTTTAAATATAATATACTTTACTTAATCTAGAGGCTTTATTAGGCTATTAGTAGGGTTTATATAATTACTTATCTATTTAACCTTAATTAGCCTCTTATTAATTATATTATAAATAAAAAAGTAATAATTATTAATCTATTTAGTTATTATATTAAAACTATTCTTCTTAAGAATATTTATAATATTAAATAAGTTAGTATAAATAGAGATAAGATCTTCCTTTTTAATCTCTATAGTAATAGTTAATTTCTTTAGTTATATAGCCTTTTTAATTACTTATAATAAGGCATAGAATTTAGTAATAATACTTAATATAGTAATAAATATTTATTTATATAAAGCCTATAAGATTAGGGCCC